TAAGCTCATTGGTTAATCTTTTTCCTTGCTCCATAGCTTGTCCAGCATAGGCGGTCATGTTGAGATCACTGTATTCTCGCTATAGCCATGTCAGAACAAAAAAATAAAAATAAAAATCTCAAGCATTCTTCCATATGCAACAATTGCATTGTGTGTGTGTGTGTGTTTTTTTTTTTTTTTTTTTTTATACAAATAAGTAAATTATCCTTTGCTCTGTGCGGCTGAACAGCCTCCATTTTGGAGTGGTAAACGGTTGCATGTTGGACCTCAAGCATATCTAGTTGGGGACTGCTGTGCTATGTTGCCACAGTAACAACTGGTAGCTAGCCAAACAAGTCGGAGACGCGTGATAGAAATGGATTTGCTTTGGAGGGAAATTTCTGATTAGCTGAGAAGACTGGCGGACAGGCATACGAGAGACTGTAGTGTTGACTGTATTAAGGCCCAGCTCATTCAGCTGCTTTTGAAAAGGATCTCACTCATAGGTTCAAGTCTGAGTGGAAGGATGTGTTGATGAGGAGGCTCAGCTCCGAGAAACGCCTGTAGGCCTACTGACGTTTCTGCCACGAGGACTGATGTTACAGGCTGTAGTTGGTGTGGTCATGTTTGCTGTTGATCATGTTTAATGTAATGATCAGTGTGCGCCAGGGCTACGTGAATACCGAAATCTATGTACTTTATAGTAATACTAAATGTGCCCCTGCGTCGATTTCATATGCCGGGACGGGACTTTACGTAGCTGATCCAAACGGAAAATAATATAGTCAACACTACAGTAGTGCGAGAACACAGTGATCTCAACATGACCGCCTATGCTGGACAAGCTATGGAGCAAGGAAAAAGATTAACCAAGAAGCTTACAGCAGAGGCATCCCGGCCCACCCCATGATTTGCATATCATTAAGAGAAATACGGAAATAAATACAGAAATAAATAGAGAAAAAAAAATATAGAGAAGAAAAAAAAAATAGAGAAAAAAACAAATAGAGAAATAAATAAATAAATGCAAAAATAAATAAATAAATAGAGGAATAAATAAATAAATAGATAAATGAATAAATAGAGAAATAAATAAATAAATACAAAAATAAATACAGAAATAGAGAAATAAATAAATAAATAAATATGAATACAGAAATACAGAAATAAATGCACTTATTCTCATAATTGCATGCATTTCTTTGCAAATTGTATCTTTTTTTTATTTATTTATTTCTGTATATATTTATTGTTTTGGCAGCCACGGTCCTCCATAGACTACAAGCCTCTATGTGTCTTGACGTCGCACTGTTGTTGTATTTGCCGAGGGCTCGTCGGCATGCGGCGCAGTTTGGACCTGACAGACCGTGTTGGCCACACGGGAGAGCTTCTCACCAATGGTAGCGTCCGGGAGGCAAGTTGAAACTCAGGCGGGAACAGAGACACACACACAGGCTGAAAGAGATGCAGAAGAGTAGTTGACACTAGATCATTTACGGAATCGTGACGGAAGCGGAAGTAACAATCCTACATTCAAATGAGTTTTAGACTAATAAGTCCTTAAAGCTGGATTATCTCACTTTGTGATTTTGAAACAGCCGTTTCAAATGTGAGCGCTGCGCTCGCTCTTTCTGCTCCCCCTCCCCGCACTCACGAAGCTATCGCCCCCCACTAGCCCATCCCTCTCAGCGTGTGCTCATGTGCTGTTGTTTATGGAGCTCACGTCTCACATTATGGATCACACATTTGAACGTGGATGGCGTGACCATAGAATGATAGAACCGGGAAGCGTGGAGGAACGAGACTTTCTTTTTGCTGTTTTGCTGTGTAAGCAGTAACCGGCAACGAAGACACGGGAAGTTTCAGGTTAGCCTCCGCCGCTTGTTTACCTCAGCTGTCTGTGCTAACAAGAAACCTGTAGCTTTTCTCAAGAAAGTGGGGGCCGGTGGACCGCTGTGATTGATCACAATCTGGTCCCAAATCAAATTATCTTCCTTGTTGCACAAAAACTTGATCTAAAATAAAATTACACTCCAGTACAAACCTGCGCTACTTTTTCTTCAAAAGGACGTGCTATATCCCAATGCATTGCATGGATTGCATTGAATTTTCTTAATTGATACAAAAATAAAGTGAGGTAGTTTTTAGTGGTGACTGGTTAAGTTTTAGGTGTCTGAGTAACATGGTTAAGGTTAGGGTTAAGGGTGGATTGGGGTTATTCTATGGGAATGGCTGGTTAAGTTTAGGCATGAATCTATTAGTTTAGTTGGTTATATTTACTTTCGCTTCCGTCCCGATTCTGTATATGATCTAGTGCCCACCGACAATGGCTTAGACCAGGAGCTATAAAGACATATGGGAGGATTATCCCAAATTCGAAGGTCTTATTTGACGAGCACGTATCACCAGAATGATTGATATGATTGGGAGGACCAATAGTCTTGATGATCCACCCGGATGTTGAAAATCCTCCTATATACCTTTACCAGTGATAGCAGATTAAAAAGGAGAGAGGAAAAGATAGTGCTCAAGTTACCACAAGTCTCCCAGCAACGTGTCTCCATATGGAGCTTGACTGACCTTTAGTTGTAGTCTAATCTAAGTCTGCCGATTCAAATGCTGAGGTTTCAAACATTTATCTTCAAAAATGTTTTAAGCCTGGCCTTGATTTTAGAGACTGTACTCGCCTCCTTGACGTGGCGGGCCTATGTACAAAAACAAACAACGAGCCCTTTCTGTGAACTCAAAAAATCTAACACATTTTCCAACAAAAGTTAAGCCACTTCTTTATCTGCATGCTCACACTGTAGTCCTTATGCATTTGACCATTTTGACCATTTTGGAGAGCTCATGAGGGGAGGGAGGATGTGCACCCGTGGCCTCTGCAGCTGCACACATCTTGCCGGTCTGTCCATCATCAGCGTGTTCTGATTCAGCACACACATGAATGTCGCTCGGTGTCTTCCTCAGATGTAGAACTGCTGACCTGAAGACGTCATGATGTCACAGTAGCGTGGCTAAGGGCGATTGGTAATGACAAGAGTTAGAAATGTAGAATGCACATTAATTTGGACAGATGGTTGTAAAACACTACTTGAGCAGGGTATTGTAGAGTTAGTTAGCTTGGCCTTCTTCAACAAAGGTTTCACAGTCTTTACAGTTCTTTCAGCAAGGCCTTTTGACCAAGAATAACCAGGGCTTGAATGAGTAAGTTTAATGCCCCACACTGTTGCAAACTTTCTCATCTCTTGAATTGCAAATTGCATATGGTCACACACTATTTCTTTTGGTATTCCAACTTAAGCAAATACCAACTTCATTTAGCTGATAGCTGTGTGAGCTGTCTGGTCTCTGATGTTCAGTAATTTTGGGTATTTGGAGAACTAATCCATTGTCAAAAATCAAAATAAATATGTCAGCTCCCACTTTAAGCCAAGGAACCACAGGGATTTCATGACGGATCTTTGGCTCCCTCTGGTGGCAGGGTTGGAACTGCTTACAGGTTGCACATGACTCAACTATTCTTTCAATGCTTCTTTTCATTCCTATCCAATACAGTGTACTCTCCGCTGAACTTGGGTGCGTTGCATGTCCTGGTGAGCCACAAGTAGCTTCTGTAACTATATTGCTCTCATTTGTCGGGTAGAATACTGTCTCCTGAAAATATTATTCCGTCTCTCACTGACACACTACAGTATGTCTAATGGGCCAGTATATGTTAGTGTCACATGAACCAACTCGGACTCTGAGGAGCACAGGGACTGGCTTCCTACTGGAGCCCGGAGACAGGACTACACTTGAGGCAGCAAATCAGATTTATGCAGTTGTATCCAGCGGTGCAAACAACTGCATAAATCTGCATACATTTATACTTTTTTATGTACTGTGATTATGAATTTAAAACATGTCTTGTTTTGTTACCCACTTTCAATTGTGCTATACAAATAAACTTGCCTTGTCTTACTATACCACTTCTTTATCAAGTTGTTTTCAGTGTTGTGGCCAGCCTCTGTTAAGAATGTCCTGTAACTCTTGATTTTGTCATGTTGTGTCACTTTCACCATGCTACAGTCTCTGGGTTCAGGGCCTCGGTCAGCTCAAGAGCTTAAACCACCTTTTCATCAAATAATGTATGTCACATTATGTCTGATTTTCATGTTTAGTTGTTTGTGAAAGTGTGTCAGCTCTCACCTGCTCTTCACCTGGCGTGTATATGACATTTCAAGCCCAGTTGTCGCCTACTGGGTTTTCGAGTTATTCTTTGCCGATGCAGGAGAGTCTAAGGACGGTGATAATCCAGGATACTAAACATTCAACAACATTTATGGGCAGAGGTCATCTGCCCTGTGTTTTTCTATCATTGCATACCTTGTGTTTGAACCGCTGGATTTTCTGATTTGTTTAGGTGAAATTGTCAGTCGTAAAGTCCTCAGAGATAACTACTATTGTGATTTAGGGCCAAACAAAATTTTTTTTATTACATTGAATTTTTCAGGATAGTTTCCAAACTTCTATTCATATGTTGCTTCAGCCCTTTAGGCTTCGCTATTGTATATCTCTCGAATGCACCGCTTCCCGCCCTGAGAAGATCAAACGATCCACCGCTCCAATCACCTTGACGTCCTGGTGTAGGTCAGTCCCCTATAGGGCCATGCACTACAGCTCTTCTCCTTTCTCTCTCAGCTTGCCTAAAGAGAAGCTTTGATTCCAGTTAAGGATGTCTTTTAGCAAGATTCCTCCCACGCCTGAGAACTTGTCACCCTTGGGTGTCAGGCTGCGGATCTGCGACTCATGCCCGGCGGCGCCCTCCCAAGCTGACCGCCACGAATCCTGCGTCTTCTGACTGGGCTGGTGTCATGCCGTGGAGGAGAGCTTCAGTTGTGTGGCTTGTCTCGCACTCCCCGGGGGAGGAGCACGATTAACTTAGCGGGTTACTCAACGCCTGGAGTGGTGCCCGTGGTGGCATCGCTCATGGTGTGCCACCCTCTATCCACGCTGCTGCTTCGCCTGGTTCTTCGAAGATGTCAGGCTCCGGATCTGGGCCAGGGACCGACTACGATGAAGGGGTTTTGGTGAAGGTCTACTACGAGGACGCACAGTTCCACTCACAGGAGGGGGGGCAACGTGAGAGCTATCCCCTGGATAGTTTCTCGCATCTGCCCGTATCAACTGTGGTCAGGATGCGAATGGCAATGCCGGTGTAACGGTCGTTTTAAACCCCCTGGCCAGTTTACACCCCGGGGTTAAAATAGCCTAGGCCAGAATATACCCCGGGGTTTATTCTGGCCTAGGCTATTTTAACCCCCCTTAGGCCAGATTAACCCCCCTCTTGTTTTATCTAATAATAGCAAAATATACGTTATTGAATATATTTTTGAAACTTCAAAATTATTTAAAATCATTTAGAAGTAGTTTGTTAATTAATTACTGCAGCCTGAATAAGTGTGATTGCTTTTCACACTTTGTTTGTGAGGCGATGACTCCATGTATCTACTTGCTTATCACATGTTTCATGTGATAACTCATGCGCTGCGTCGACTTTCAATGCAAAGTCAATGGTGACATGTGTGTGCATCTCGGGATGCACGCACGGACTGCGCGGTAGAGACACATGAACTGCGCGGCAGAGGTGCAAGAGCGGAAAATCAACGCACGACGCACGCAGGAGATAAATATTGCTGAGCGTTTCCTCGGGACGCACATGCAGCGACCAATCAGAGAGCCGCAAAGTGGTCACGGGGACATTAGTCTGAGCGAGCAGACTGAGCATACTGTATACAGCCAAAACAGGAGCTTCATCAGGACTAAACCAGGACTAAACTAGGACTAAACCAGGACTAAACCCAGGACTAAACCAGTACAAACCAGGAATAAAACCAGGACTAAACCAGGGTTGACAATGGGGGACATAGTGCTTGTGAACATATGAGTTTTCATGGTGGACTATCTTCAGTCCTTCACGCCTTCCTCTCAGGATGGAGCCTCTGCTTCGCTATACCAGCCGCTGGTGGGATAGGCCCCTGACAGCCAAATCCCCAGCGCTAGCATACGGAGTATATGCGTGAGCGGATGCCTGGCCCAGGCTGTTAGGCGTTCCTCCTATCGAGGACGGGGTACGCCTGTCCCTGCCAGCTTCCTCTCCGTGGTCTGGACTGGCAGCTCCTCTCCTGGAGCGGGACAAGCTGACCATCTCCATGCTGGACAGGTGTGCGGCCCAGGTCGCCTGCCTCCATCTCTGGTTGGGCCTGTCACCAGAGGCCCCTACAGAAGTCAATTTATTCAGCCTATGAGAGTTGTCCAAGTGTCAGGGGGTGCAAAATGGGTGGTGGGTTTTAATATGGTTTTATTCATATTTTATGCATGTTGTGTTTGTGTGTTTTTAATATTGATTTTAACTGGCACCACCTGAAGCACCCCGGCTCCCCACGTGAGCAATCAAGACACCTGCGCCTTGAGAATAAAAGACTGAGACGGGGAGGGGGAGACAGAACGAGACGGAGAGAGAGCCTGAGACGGGAGCCCGACGTGGCGGGTGAGAGCCCCGTGGTCTGGCGGCCCAGGCCGTGGGGACGCGTTTTAGCCTGTTTTAGCTTTTTACTCCGTTTTTTTAGCTTAGGGTTTCATTGCTTTTATTTACTTGTTTTTAATGTATTTTGTAATAAATTGCTTTTAATTCGCTTTTAATCCAGTGGTCCCTTTTTAAATCCGGGTCCGAAGAACCTGTTTTTACACTTGTGACACAAGGTCAAGTTTGTTGTAGAGCCACAAAATTTGGTACCCATATTTCTCAAGTCAAGACATGAAAAAAAAAGTTATTACGGCCACGCGCCCTGACGAACAGGAAACCCATAAATGTCATTGCAAAATGGAAAAATGAAAGATGATCCTTTTCACACATGTCGGTTGGAAAGCGACTCCTCCTCTTCCGTTTCATCGATTTGCCTCAAAATCGCTCCACATCGTCTAAGCACATGTACCATCATTTTGATTTCAGCGAATTTTGATCAGTGAAACGTTGTTTGAGCAGCGGAGCGGCAAAAAGTGGCTTTTTTGTGCCATTTTTGACAATAGCAAATTTGCTCCCGTTTGCACATATATAAAGTCTGATTTGCACAAAACTTGAACCCATTGTTCAACTCCCAGGTCTAGGTCATGTAAAAGTAAAATAATTGAAATTGGCTCATTAACGCCCCCTACAGACTATGTCAACGTTTTACATGGGGACAATCGCAATTGTGTTTTGTTAAAATGTTTGAAATTTTGCACATAATTCTGTTTTGACTTCTTGATTCAAAACGTCAATGACATCCAAGAACTATTTTTTTACCCTGTTGCCGTTGTGACGTCAAGCGCTCCCCATTCTGTGTTAATGGCAAATGTACACCTCGCACAAACATCAAACCAGCCTCGGCCGTATCACAGAGTTGGCTGAAAATCGCTCCACATCATCTCAACACATGTACCATCAATAGTTGTTCGTAGAATTTTGATTAGTCACATGGTCAGCCAATGGAGAATGTATATATATGGACAAACTAACAGATTATACATGTGCTCCTGTTTACACATACAAAGTCTGATTTGTGGTAAACTTGACTAGGTTTTTCAACTCCTGGGCCTAGGTCACCTGAAGATGTGAAATATTACATTGGCTCTTTAGCGCCCCCTATAGACTGAGCCAAAGTTTTAAATGGGGAGCCAAACCGACTGATCATATTCATTATAATTTCACGTAAAAAAATCTACGGCTACGGGAGCTAATCATGGCGCGGCGGCGCCACCTCCTTTGAGCGATGCGGCGAGGGCCGTTCAACGCCGCTTGCGGCTTTAATTACATATTGCTCCATGCAGTAGCTCACAATCAAATATGTTCCAAATTAAATCAAATGGTAATCACTTTTGTTTTGTCAACACCTTCTGCTGCAAAGAAATGTCCCACATATTTAACACTCACCTTATATTGGAGTTTTTCTTTGTTAGATTTGACATTAGCCTTCTTACTGTGTACACTGTATCAGCTCTGCTTGTGTTCAAGTCCCTCCAAGGCCTCGCACCAAGTACATTGGAGACATGTTATTGCCATACGAACCAATTCGGACTCTTAGAAGCACCTGGACTGGCCTCCTGCTGGGACTCTGAGGAGCACAGGGACTGGCCTCCTGCTGGGACTCTGAGGAGCACAGGGACTGGCCTCCTGCTGGGACTCTGAGGAGCGCAGGGACTGGCCTCCTGCTGGTGCCAGAGTCAGAACAAAACATGGAGAGGCTGCAATTCAGATGCATCTAGGATATGAATGGTCTTCCTGGGGTTGTGAGACAGGCCTCTAGCCTGACCATGTTCAAAACTAGACTGAGAACATATCTTTCTTGCTGTGCATACAACTGATTCTATGTTGTACTATCTATTGGTTTTACCTCATTAAACCCACTTTTTAATGAGAGCTTTAAACCCATACTTTTATGCTGCTCTGTTTTAATATGAAGTAATTGTATATTTCATTGACTTTCTAATGCATTTTGTTCTGTGTTTTTAAATTGCTCTTGTGAAGTACTTTGAAACGCCTTGTATACAAAATGTTGATTATAGCCTTGTTTGTCAAAATATTTGTTTCAAATTTGATTTTATACTCCACATGAAGCCAGTGGAATGATTTATATGTTCCCTATTTTTAAAAGGAATACTTTTGTAACAGTCTGCACCTGTGAATGAATCTATCCTCAAACACAGCACACATGATTCCCTTCATGGACAGCTGTTGTATCTGAATCCCTTGTGACTTTATTTCTTTGTGAAAGTCAAACCAGATCCTAATCTTCTAGTCTGGTCTCACAGAATCCACTTTTCAAAAACATCTAATTTCGGAATATATTTGTTGGATAGATTGAATTTATAATTTTTAACATTATTTATTTGGATTTAAAGGGGAGGAGTTCTGTTGAATATTTAAATCTTATCTTTTGTTTTTGTTTTTTTTGCAAATCTTTAAGAATATTGTCCTGTTTGTTAGAGTTTGTGACAGAACTTAATAGGATCGAAAGAATTTATTATTGTATTAAAGTCAGTGAAACTGACCCAGTCAAAGAAAAGTTTTCTCATGATCGGAACATGAGAGTTAAAGATGTCCCTTTTTTTCCACAGTAAAACATAGAGGTTGATTTCCTTTGGATGAGCACAAAACTGATCCAAATGAGAGAATTGTAAAATTATGTTTGAAGATGAGAATCCTCATAAGAGAAAGAGAAGCGCCGAGCCGGAAATACAAAGAAGATCCGCCGAAGAGCCAGGGGGCAGCACTGCGCGTCACACCGAAGCACCGGAGAAGAAGAAGAAGAAGAAGAAGCAGCTCCGGAACCAGAGACTGTCGCTTCATGAGCTCCATCTGAGGACGCTTCAGAACTGCGGACGGAGACTCGCTCTGGTCAGAGCCCTCTCCATGGCCTTCTCTCCCTCTCGGAGGATCTGTGTTCTGCCGAACCACACACAAGGCCCACGGAGCAGCTGAAGATGGGGAAGCGAGACAATCGAATAGTGAGATCTTTCAATCTTTTGTAGACAAACACAGAGTCTGCACAGAGCAACACCAATAACAGGACAGGCTTTGGCAGACATCGGCCACATAGACCTGATCAGGCAAACCTTCACATTCCCTTCAGTCAAAGTCGTAGTTAAAGTTAAAACAGATCTGTTGTGATGGTGCTGTCTTCGTGTTTATGGCAGAGACGTGACCACTCCTGTAAAATACTGTTTATTGTTGTTGTAACTATACATCATCAGTAAATACCATTGAGCTTTGTTCTGAAATACAGTAGAATGCAGAAAGGTCATTATTTTGTATGTCTCTTTATGTGCAGGAAACTCACAGCAGCTGCTTTTTACAAATGTAACAATGCTCACGTTTTATCTGTAAAACCTTTTTACAACATAAAGAATGTGACTCGTGGCTCCTCCGATGATACCTGTGTTTGGAAAGATGATTGCAAACAAAGTTCAATATCATTGAAATGGGTAAACTAACTGCATATTTCTCTCCTGCCCTCAGGCTTACATTAACCCTATAGCTGCAGCGCGGTCCAGGGGCCCAGCGCAGAGTTCTGGGCCGAGCATTCAGGACTACCTGAGCAGACCTCGTCCAACATGGTGACAGCTCTTGTGAAATGTTGTTTACACTGTGTCCATCAATCACAAACACGCACTCATTCACCTCAACATGATTTTAGTGGAATAAAGTCCCCAGAGGAAATCCTTTTCTTTAGTATTTGTTTTTTTTTGTTCCCACCTCTACACCTTCTCCACCGACTCCCAATGATGTCTGCTGTCGTTGTGTCCTTGGGCAAGACACTTAACCCCACTTTGCCCAAAGCCCCCACTGAAAGATCAAGGCTATGCTCACACTCAGAGAGCAGCCGTCCTCCTGTGGACTCACCACCTGCAGAGGGTCAGTGAGGGGCTGGTGCTATGAGACTTGGGTGGCATCTCTGATTGACACCCCCCTGACCCAGAAATGGATTAAAGGGTAGAAAATGGATGGATGGATGGATAGTATTTGTTTTTCTTCAAATGTAACACTCTTGAAACACTCTTGAACTTGTTTGATATATTCAATTTAAATGCACACTTTATGGAATACATACTTTATATTAATCCCAATTTCTTATTTTTGTATAAGTTGTGCAGCCAATGAATGTTGTTTCTTTGCTTGAAGGGAGGAACTAAAGGAGCAACTGGATAAAAAGAAGAAAGGCTCTCGTGCCTTGGCAGATTTTGAAGACAAAATGAATGAGGTCTGTTATTCCAAAGATATTTTATTTTCACCTCGTTTTCCTCTAATAAATTATATCATGGGAGATTATGTCAGTGTTTGTTGGAAAGCATGTTTCGAGAGCTGTCACTGAGTGGTTGGGCGGGTGGGCTGCATGGTTATATTGACAGCACACAGTTCTGCCTCTAGATATTATAGCTTGTTGGCAAAATAAATAAATCCTATCAAAATACCATTGGAAATCTAATTGAAACGTATGGTTTTTTTTTATTTTCAGAGATGGCGGAAAGAACTGGCAAAGAACAGGGAAAGAATAATAGGACAGGCCAACAAGGATAGTGAAAAGGAAAAGAAAGCCATGAATCCGAAGGAAAAGAAAGCCACGGATCCGAAGGAAAAGAAAGCCACGGATCCAAAGGAGAAGGAGAAGCGAGAGGTAGAGTTCCTGCACAACCCTCACAATGAAAACATCACTTCAATAAAGTGTCTATGAAGATTCTAAACAACTAAATGTAAATGGGATCACATTTCAAAGTGTATTTGCATAATATCTCACAAACTATTCTATAATAGGTGGCATGCAGCTTTGCCTCAGATTTGAAGGAAAGTTTGTTAGGTATTGAAACGTGCTTGTTTGTCTCTGACCATTAGGAAGAGTAATGTGCTCTGTCAGAGACGTGTTCAGTCGAGTTTTTCATGGATCTATTAGGTTTGTATTTCCAGAATGGTTGCCATGGCAATGCGAGGCAAATGGCATTGACGACATGCTTATCTCCTCTCATATCTCTGTGAATATGAGGCAGACTTTTGCCAAATGAAAATCATTTTGTAGCTTAACACAATGCGATGTAGGTTCAAGGCAGAGGAGCCATAAGACACGCATCTTCAGGGTAAACTAACCTGACATGAGAGTCTAAACCTAGATCACGTTCTGTTAGTGGGTGAACGATCCAACGCTGGGAAATCTGCTCCACACTGATGGGAAGAGATGGGATGACTTTATTACTTTACATTACGCCAAAATCTATACAAAAGCACATTAGAATCTCCTCAGCTCAAAAACAAACTATGTATTCAGACGAATGTGAGGTACGTGTTGATAAATGTTAAAAGTAAAACAAAGCAGCGTGTCGGCGCCTCACAACCAGCAGGAGGAGAAAGACACACAGGGAGGGTTTCATACTTGTAACCCGTGACGATGATCATCTTATAATTGACTTTCTGTGCTGTTCATTCAGAAAAAGAAGAGACGGCGAAGCAGCAGGGTGAGAGCCAGTTTACTTCTCATCGTGTCATGTGTCAAAGCTTCATTCTAACAAGACCTGCTTTTTTTGTTCTGTTTAAGCGCTCTTCATCATCATCCTCCCCATCTTGTCATTCCTCCAGCAGCTCCCAGCCTGACGACCAGCAGGAGGTGCGTATCACAAACTCTTTTACGATTCAAGACGCTAGAATCTGCTTAAATGGTTAGATGTGAAGTAACTTCAGAGAGACTCAATCCAATGAAATACAATCTGAGTTTAGATTCATGCGTCGCTTCACTTTGGGTTTGGCTGTTCTTTGTCCTCTGGCGATTGATCTGATTCATCAAATATTTAAATAGTTTGACAGCACTAACTATAGTATAAAAACATATATATATATATATATATATATATATATATTAATCTTTATATATATATATAAAATAATTTTTAATAACGTTTGAATATTTGCGTTTCAGGACAAAAGGCCTAGGAAAAGGAAACTGAAAAGAAAAAGATCTGCAAGAGAAGCTTCAGACTCTTCAGAAGACTCTGATGCTGAGAGTAAGGTGGGTTTCTGTGTTGGTGTGAAGACTGGAGAATTATGAGGCGTAAAAGTGGGGGTCTGTGTTGGTGTGAAGACTGTAGAGAAGTGCGACCCTCTCTCGGCTGTGATCAAATACTCATGAGCTTCCAGTCCTAGCATTTTCAATAATACTAATATTTGTATTCTAAGAGGATGAATAGACATTTTTAAAAGAGTTCTATGCTGAATAAAAAAAGCCAGTTTTGATGGGGCACATGCTGAAAGCTCGCCCTGCTCCAATTTCATCACCTAAAATAGGTGATGAAATTAAAAAGACAGGAGTTAGTGGAAATCCAGAGGTGTCTTGACCCTGCTTGCCTTGTACTGAAGAAGACGTATGTATTTATGTTGAGCCTTATGCTGTGTGGTTGATTAAAAAAGCAGGTTTGTGTGGAGAGATGTGACTTCCCTCAGCTACTTAACACCTGCTTACCCTGCACTGAGTAGTCCATCCATCCATCCATTTTCTTCCGCTTTATCCGTTGCCGGGTCGCGGGGGCAGCAGTCTAAGCAGAGACTTCCCTATCCACACACACTTCCTCCAGCTCGTCCGGGGGGACCCCAAGGCGTTCCCAGGCCAGCTGAGAGACATAGTCCCTCCAGCGTGTCCTAGGTCTTCCCCGGGGCCTCCTCCCGGTGGGACGTGCCCGGAACACCTCCCCAGGGAGGCGTCCAGGAGGCATCCGGAACAGATGCCCGAGCCACCTCAACTGGTTCCTCTCGACGTGGAGAAGCAGCGGCTCTACTCCGAGCTCCTCCCGTGTGACTGAGCTCCTCACCCTATCTCTAAGGGAGCGCCCAGCCACTCTGCGGAGGAAGCTCATTTCGACCGCTTGTATCCGCGATCTCGTTCTTTCGGTCATTACCCAAAGCTCATGACCATAGGTGAGGGAGGGAACGAAGATTGACCGGTAAATCGAAAGATTGACCGGTAAATCAAAAGCTTGACCGGTAAATCGAAAGCTTTGCCTTTCGGCTCAGCTCCCTCTTTACCACAACAGTCCGATACAGCGACCGCATCACTGCGCACGCTGCACCGATCCGCCTGTCAATCTCACGCTCCATCCTTCCCTCACTCGTGAACAAGACCCCGAGATACTTGAACTCCTCCACTTGAGGAAGGACCTCTCCACCCACCTGAAGAGGGCAAGGCACCTTTTTCCGGTCGAGCACCATGGCCTCAGATTTGGAGGTGCTGATTCTCATCCCAGCCGCTTCACACTCGGCTGCAAACCGCCCCAGTGCATGCTGCAGGTCCTGGTTCGTTGGAGCCAACAGGACAACATCGTCTGCTAACAGCAGAGATGAAATCCTGTGGTCTCCGAACCGGACCCCCTCCGACCCCTGGCTGGGCCTAGAAATTCTGCCCATAAACACAGTGAACAGAACCGAGGACAAAGGGCAGCCCTGTCGGAGGCCAACATTCACCAGGAACAGGTCTGACTTACTGCCGGGCAATGCGTACTGCAGTAAATCTTGTCAGGGTTCCCCTGCTCTCGACGCTGCAGAGAGGCCGCAACACCGCAGCCCGTTTCGTCCTGTAGGTTCTTTTGGTTCAACAAGAGACAATACCAATGTTAAAACAGTAATAGAAATGACAGACACCAAACCTGATTTCAGATGTTATATTGAAGATTTGCAAGCAATATTACAAGATTAACGGTCTGCGAACAAGCCTCGCTTCGCGTTTGAAGATAGAAGTGGCCTCGGGTCTTCTCTGCTCTCCTGTCAGACGAAGCGCCCGTGACTGCTTCTGTACATCTCTTTATACTGTACATCCAAGGTCACTGACATCACAAATTTATGGACTCTATGACTCCTTCTGGCCAGCTGCCAAAACCTGCACCTGCTTTGATAACAACACTTGTTTTTCTCACTTTTCACACAGAACTGCTACTATTCAGAAATAATAACCTTGACCTAACTGCTCTTTGAAACTTACACAAACAAGTGCTGTATAGACCTAATCATTCTGACGTTTAAGTTGTTTAAGTATTAATTTAGCAACAGAAACCATACTAAACTGATTTTAGTTTAACTGGTGCAGGAGTTTAATATTCCAACAGAACACAGCTCTGGCTCGGTCATACAGGGATCGGATGCCCCTCCGCAGAGGACCTCCGACCCCGTACTCCCGGAGAACCCCCCCCAAAGGACACCCCGGGGAACACGCCTTCTCCAAATCCACAAAGCACATGTGGACAGGTTGGGCAAACTCCCATGAACCCTCGAGTATCCGATGGAGAGTATAGAGCTGGTCCAGTGTTCCGCGACCGGGACGAAAACCACACTGCTCCTCCTGAATCCGAGATTCGACCCTCGGCCGTAGCCTCCTCTCCAGTACCTTGGAGTGTGATCCCACGATAATTGGAACACACCCTCCGGTCCCCCTTCTTGTAGAGGGGGACCACCACCCCGGTCTGCCACTCCATTGACACCGCCCCCGATCACCACGCAATGTTGCAGAGACGTGTCAGCCAAGACAGTCCTACAACATCCAGAGACTTTAGATAATCAGGACAGATCTCATCCACACCCGGAGCCTTGCCACCATGGAGGCTGCCAACTACCTTGGTGACCTCAGCCAGGGAGATGGATGTATCCGCCCCAACATCCTCAGCCTCTGCCTTTGTAACGGAGGACGTGACGGGGGGATTGAGGAGAACCTCAAAGTATTCCTTCCACCGCCCGACAATATCCCCAGTCGAGGTCAGCAGCTCTCCCCCCGCACCGAACATGGTGTTGGCAAAGAACTACTTCCCCCTCCTGAGGCGCCGGATGGTTTGCCAGAATCTCTTTGAGGCCGACCGATAGTCATGCTCCATGGACTCTCCGAACTCCTCCCAGTCCCAGGTTTTTGCCTCTGCAACAGCCTGGGCCGCGGCACGCTTGGCCAACCGATACTGGACAGCTGCCTCAGGAGTCCCCCGAACCATCATGGCTCGATAGGACTCCTTCTTCAGCCTGACAGCATCCCTTACTGCCGGTGTCCACCACCGGGTTCGGGGGTTGCCGACGGGACCAGCACCAGAGACCTTGCAACCACAGCTACGAGCCGCCGCATCGGCGATTGAGGCAGAGAACATGGTCCACTCGGACTCCATGTCCCCCTCCTCCGCCGGGACCTGGTAGAAGCTCTCCTGGAGGTGCGAGTTGAAAGTCCGTCTGACAGGGGGCTCAGCGAGACGTTCCCAGCAGACCCTCACTATACGCTTGGGTCTGCCAGGTCTGACCGGCTTCTTCCCCTGCCAGCGGATCCGACTCACGACCAGGTGGTGATCGGTTGACAGCTCCGCCCCTCTCTTTACCCGAGTGTCCGAGACACGCGGTCGAAGGTCAGATGATACGACAACAAAGTCGATCATCGACCTCCGGTCTAGGGTGTCCTGGTGCCACGTGCACTGGTGGACACCCTTGTGCTCGAACATGGTGTTCATGATGGACAAACTGACTGGCACAGAAGTCCAACATCTAAACACCGCTCGGGTTCACATCAGGGGGGCCGTTCTTCCTGATCACCCCTCTCCAAGTGTCACTGGCGTTTCCAACATGGGCGTTGAAGTCCCCCAGGAGAATAACGGAGTCCCCGGGCGGTGCACCGTCCAGTACCCCTCCCAAGGACTCCAAGAAGGCCGGGTACTCTGCACTGCTGTTAGGCTCGTAGGCCGTCACAACAATGAGAGGCTTGTCCCCCACCCGGAGGCGGAGGGACAAAGTGGAACGTCCAACCCCTCTCAAGGAGTTGGGTTCCAGAGCCCAAGCTGTGTGTGGAGGTGAGGCCGACTATCTCTAGTTGGTATCGCTCAACCTCCCCCACGAGCTCCGGCTCCTTCCCCCCCAGTGAGGTGATGTTCCACGTCCCAAGAGCCAGATGTTGTGTGTGCAGACTGGGTCGCCGAGGTCTCCGCCTTCAACTGCCGCCCAGTCCTCTCAGCACCGCGCCACCACGGACCCCTCTGCAGGTGGTGGCCCCACAGGAGGCACTGAGTAGTAATAATAATGATACTACTTATTAGTAATAATAATAATAATGCATCAAACTTATATGGCGCTATTTTTGGACACACAAAGACGCTTTACAAAACACATGGAAATACACATTGAAAAACAAAATTAAGGAAAGGCACGCTGAAACAGGTAGGTTTTGAGAAGAGATTTAAAGTTCTGTAGTGAGTCTGAGTTTCTGATGGGTTGAGGGAGTAAGTTCCAGAGAGTGGGGGCAGCAGCAGCGAAGGCTCTGTCCCCCAAGGTTTGGTGTTTAGTCCTGATGGGAGTGAGGAGGTTGGAGTCTGTGGATCTGAGGCAGCGGGAGGGACAGTGATGATGGAGGAGGTCTGTGAGGTAAGAGGGGGCCAGGTTATGGAGGGATTTGTAGGTGAGGAGGAGGACCTTGTATTGGATGCGGTATGGAACAGGAAGCCAGTGGAGTTGTTTTGAGGACAGGGGTGATGTGGTCTCTGGTGTGGGTGAGCAGGCATATGGCGGAGTTCTGGATGTATTATAGTTTTTGAGACCGAAGGGGAGGCTGTTGCAGTAGTCCAGTCTAGAGGTGATGAAGGCATGAACCCGTATTTCAGCAGAGAATCAAGAGAGGGAGGGGAGGGGGCGAGCGATGTTGCGGAGGTGGAAAAATGTTTTAGAGATGAGGTTATTGTGGGGTCTAAATGAGGGTTAGGGTTAGGGTGGAGTCCATAATAACGCTCAGGTTGGGTACAGAGGAGGAGGGACTTTCAATTTTCCTTCCCCCCTTTAAATATACGGTAAGCATACCAGGACACATCCACACATGCACAAGAAAGGTGAGCGATTAAAGATGTCCTTTTGGCGTTCAATTCCATTCAATTTAATGTATTCTTGTATTGCCCTAAATCACAACAGTAATTATCTCGGTGAACTTTACACAACCGTTGAATTTGCCAACACATAGTCGTGTTCAAGCCATAACAAAAAAATGTGCTGCATTTTGTGCTTGTCAGAAGAAAGAAAAAAAGTTGCAACCAACACAAAAAAAGTTTGTCCAGAGCCCTTTTCATGTTTATGTTTTTGTCTTCACAGATTGAGTCCAAGAAGAAGAAAAGTGAAGGCGCTGATAAGATTTCTGTAAGTATCAACATCGTTTAAGAAGCAATATGTAAGATTTTTATGTCAAATCATCATTAAAGGGTTCTAATCTGTCAAAAGGTATTCATAAATAATGCTCTTTTCCAATACTTATTTAACTGATAACTTGTAGTTCAGGGATATGTTCAAAATTAGTTTTTCAGCCCCTTGTTATTGTTTTCATTTTGATGTCCCGCCCTCCACCGTTTCACCAATCAGAACGTCTGTGATCCAGGTTGCCAGGACTCACTACGTCAAGCTAATCTCACTGGTAAAGTACCATGTGGCCGCAGGACTAACAAAGGTCTCGTTAGGATTCTCAAAATCATTAATGACATAGCTTTGCGAAAAAGGTGTTGGTTACAGGTTTGATGTTGACAAAACTAACATATCATTGACTGGGGCAGTATGGGGCATTCAATGATTTATCCAGACGCAATTTTTAATATACCCTAAATCCCAAAAGTAGTCAAGTTATCATGTGTTTTCAAATAGGAATAACTGTCGCCTCAAAAACTAATTCGTCCATCCCATCATCATTTAGGGCACTCCTCTGCTGGGTGCCATTGATGCTGTTATATTTTTGTGCCTTTTTAGGAAAAAACTAAGAAGAAGAAAAAGAAGAAGCACAAGAAGCACAAAAAACACAAAAGAAAAAAGCAAATCAAGACCACAGCGATCTCAGCCCAGACCACAGAGGGTCAGATTGCAGCTGGTGGCACTGCAGCCGGTGGCACTGCAGCCGGTGGGATCGCAGCCGGTGGGATCGCAGCCGGTGGGATCGCAGCCGGTGGGATCGCAGCCGGTGGGATCGCAGCCGGTGGGATCGCAGCCGGTGGGATCGCAGCCGGTGGGATCGCAGCCGGTGGGATCGCAGCCGGTGGGATCGCAGCCGGTGGGATCGCAGCCGGTGGGACCGCAGCCGGTGGGACCGCAGCCGGTGGGACCGCAGCCGGTGGGACCGCAGCCGGTGGGACCGCAGCCGGTGGGACCGCAGCCGGTGGGACCGCAGCCGCTGGGACCGCAGCCGCTGGGACGGCAGCCGCTGGGACCGCAGCCAGGCAGATCGCAGCCGCTGGGATCGCAGCCGGTGGGACCGCAGCCAGGCAGATCGCAGCCAGGCAGATCGCAGCCGGTGGGACCCGCAGCCGCTGGGACCGCAGCCAGGCAGATCGCAGCCGCTGGGATCGCAGCCGGTGGGACCGCAGCCAGGCAGATCGCAGCCGGTGGGACCGCGCAGCCGGTGGGATCGTAGCCGGTCAGATCGCAGCCGGTGGGACCGCAGCCAGGCAGATCGCAGCCGGTGGGATCGCAGCCGGTGGGACCGCAGCCAGGCAGACCGCAGCCAGGCAGATCGCAGCCGGTGGGATCGCAGCCGGTGGGGCCGCAGCCAGGCAGACCGCAGCCGGTGGGATCTCAGCCGGTCAGATTGCAGCCGCTGGGATCTCAGCCGGTCAGATCGCAGCCGCTGGGATCTCAGCCGGTCAGATCGCAGCCGCTGGGATCTCAGCCGGTCAGATCGCAGCCGCTGGGATCGCAGCCGGTCAGATCTCAGCCGGTCTGATCGCGGCATGTCGGATCGCGGCGGGTCGTATCGCGGCGGGTCGTATCGCGGCGGGTCGTATCGCGGCGGGTCGTATCGCGGCGGGTCGTATCGCGGCGGGTCGTATCGCGGCTGGTCGTGTCGCGGCGGGTCGGATCGCAGCGGGTCGGATTGCGGCGCGTCGGATCGCGGAGGGTCGGATCGCAGCGCGTCTGATCGCAGCGAGCAGTCTCCCCTCGACCACAGAGGCCTCGGAGGCAGCAGCCACAGCGTCCTCCAGGACTCTTCAGGACTAATGCTGGACTAATGGAGACACATTTGTTGATCCGATTAATCTTTACTCTACAAACTGTCTCCGGTGAGCATACATATACAAGACAGATAGTTTTCACATAGCTTTAGAACATGGTTTCAGATTGAAGCTGCGATGCGTGGACGGTCAGTTACTCAATTATTGGCATTACTTGCGCTTCAGAATCTGTGAATTTTCCTTGACTTGTTTCCATTTAAATGACAACATAAAACTCTAGAATGCAAATGCTACAAAGAAGATATAGGGCTCTTTTATCACACTTGTCTGCTGTGAATTCATGCTCAGTAAATAGGGCAACATTCTCACCTTCACAACGGAGACAGAAGTGTGTGTGTGTGTTGCGTGTGCGTGCATCACTTTCAGCTCTTTCCAATCTGTAGGTCCTCGGCTCTTGGTCACTTAAAGATGCATGGAGTGAGTGTGTTGGGTTTTTAGCCACACGCAGGTCCTGTAATAAATCAGATCTTTGCGTCGCGCTGAGGAGATGAGGACGTGACTTTATGAATGAGACTTGTGTAAACCCCAAACACAAGGCAATAATAGTTTGAGTGTTTAAGTTTAGAAAGGCTCATCTTGTCTTAGTTGAAATAAAGGTATTTTGGTCGGAATGCTGAACTTACCCTGAGCGTCAGCAGCAGATAAGAGCAAAGACAAACTGAAGGCTGATGTCTAACATTCAGAATGTTCAAATGTTTCACACAGAAGTATCCACATAATCCCTTTTATTTAAAAAAGTTCATGTATCACCCACTTCCTCAAACCTGCGTCTCCCTCCACCTCGGAGACCACATATTCATTTTCAAGTAGTGTCATTTGTTTGTGTAGGTTTGCACGCTTTGTAAATAAGATGACAAATGATCTTAACTAGGACTGTTTGACTACATATAGATCTGACATGTTAGTACCAGCAGAAAGTGCATCCATTTGCTTGGAAGTGTCTCGGATTTGGACCATATCCTAGAACCAACTAAAACATAAGACAAGCACTGGAATCATAGTTTTGAACTCATCCGGGATCACACTGTGTGGAACAAGGACATTGCTACAGAATGACATGGAATGTTTAAATAAATGTGATTTCAGCCTCTATCTGTCCTGTGTCTATCGTCTCTTAATCCTTGTGCTATCCTCAGGTCAAAATGACCCAACCCTAGGCTTGGCTCCAGGGTGGGGCCCCGGCTGCGCCTTGCCAGGGGGACGTCACTTGATCTCTTTTAGTGCGTATTTACACTGTTACTGGTATTTTAGCCCATTCCTCAATGGAGACACCCTCTAGAGCAGTGATGTTTAGTCGCTGTCACTGGGCAACACAGTCTTTCAACTCCCTCCAAAGATGTTCTTCTGGGACAGTGTTTTTGGGACCCTTGTCATGCTGAAAGATCCAGTCGCATTTCATCTTCAATACCCTTCCTGATGGAAGAACTTTTCACTCGAAATCTCACGATACATGGCCCCATTTATCGTCCTGGTCCCTTTGCAGAAAAATAGCCCCAAAGCATGATGTTTCCACCCCATGCTTCACAGTAAGTTTGTAGTGTTCTTTGGATGCATCCTTTCACCTCCAGACACATCAACTCTTCACCAAAAAGTTTCATTTTGGTTTGACCAATAGAGGTTACCCCAATCCTTTTCTGGATCATCTAAATGCCCTGTAGCCTCAGACTGGCTTAAGCAGGGGGACTTTGGTCCCAGCTTCTCTGTGGGTCTTATACGAGGTCCCCAGTGTGGTTCTGGGATTTTTGCTCAAAGAGTGAGAAACTGATGTATGTATATATTGGCCAACCCTGTTCAGAAAAGGCTTCATGTGGTTTGTACTTGTCTATATTTTTTATTTAAAATATCACATTTGGGTTAGGGTTTGTGTTAAAAAGGCTGCCTTAGAGACTGTCACGCTGGCCCTTTAAGGGGGCGGAGCTTGGACCACCGGAGACCTGCGTGCGCTCTGCATGCACAGAGCGAGAGAGAGGAGTGGAGCGAGCACATCTTACTTTGCCGTGTCTGAGTGTTTTCATAGGTTTAAGTTAAAGTTTGCAGTAGTTTGTGTGTTTAAGTCAAAGGTGTGCGTTATAAAAGTACTGTGTACGGAAATGTTTAGTTAAGTGTAGTTTCATAGGTATCAGTGTTTTTACTGCTAATACATAGTTCCCACATGACGTCACTACATACGGGGATTTGCCGACCCGGCGCCATTTGTATTGGCATTCTGTGGGCAAAACAATAGAAAAAGAAGCTGAAACGTGTTAATGTCGTGATAAAGTTGAAAATGGTCATCTCCTGCTGGGTCAATGGATGTTCAAATCGTGCCGGAGGTTCCGTTAAACTTGGATTTTACAGTATACCCATCATTAGACTTCATGAATGTGAGAAGACTAAGCTTTTGTCAGAACAACCACGGAGGTTATGGCTTGCGAAGATAAACAGGCAAGAAACTCCCTCAAAACACGCAAGAATATGCTCGGAGCACTTTGTGTCAGGTGCGTATCGTATCTTATAATGTGTTGACAGACGTAATTTACTCAGTACTAACTTGTGTATGCTGATATCTGGTAACTTGAGAGTTTCATTATTTAGATTACTTTATTATGAGGAGGATCGGTGTCGCGTCCGAGGCTCTCGAGGGCAACGTAAATGTATTAAATAGATAATAATAGTTCTATGGTGGGCTAAAACAATGTTCACAAACAGCATTGCTTCTGTAAAAAGATCTGTGTCATAAAATAAACTGCTCTTTACGCCTGGAAAAATCAGTTGCCCACCATTCACCAAAACATACGGTCAAAAACGCGGAAATAAACTAACAGCAATCCAGAGTGTCCGTGTGGCATTAGCATTAATTAAATTAATTGTTAATATAATTAAAATAATTAAATGGAGCTCCAACTGGTATTAAATCTAAAGTTTTTGAGAAATGTTTGCATTGCTTGTTAATTTTTGCTGCATAATTTGATCAAATATGTAAAACATGTCCGTAGCACGTTAAACTGTGGTGCCATTGTATTAATATACAATTATTTGCTCAAAAGTTGCCCTTTTTTTCCCAATTTGCGTTTGAATATCTACATTTATTCTCATTCTTCTGTTTAATGGAATGCACAAACACAGCAGCGTGCCATCAAAGATGGCGTCTCCGAGGAGGTCATGTGACATTCATTGGTCTGTGGGAACTATGTCACATGGTCATCACGTGGCTCCTCTGTTTAGAGCGCTGAGCGCGGCGCTGCACTATTACATGTTTGTAGATGTGGATGTAATATGTTAGTGTGAGTTTGTTAGTCTTTCCACTAATATATAATTATTGTATAGTAAGTTCAGTGTGCTCCCCCCTTGGACTGCCACCTTAACGTGGTGGGGGAGTTTGAGCACTCGGATGATCCTGGGAGCTATGCTGTCTGGGGCTTCATGCCCCTGGTAGGGTCTCCCATGGCAGACAGGTCTCAAGTGACGAGTCAGACGAAGCGCAGTCCGAAGCCAACCATGGACAGCACGACAACAAAAACCGTGACGTCGCCCGGCATGGCGCAGCCGGGGCCCCACCCTGGAGCCAGGCCTGGGGTCGGGGCTCGCAAGCGAGCGCCTGGTGGCCGGGCCTTAGCCCACGGGGCCCGGCCGGGCTCAGCCCGAAGGGATGACGTGGGCAGTCCCTCCTGTGGGCTCACCACCTGCAGAGGGGTCCGTGGTGGCGAGGTGCAGAGAGGACTGGGCAGCAGTCGAAGGCGGAGACCTCGACGACCCAGTCCACACACCCAACATCTGGCTCTTGGGACGTGGAACGTCACCTCACTGGGGGGGAAGGAGTCCGAGCTTGTGGGGGAGGTTGAGCGATACCGACTAGAGATAGTCGGCCTCACCTCCACACACAGCTTGGGCTCTGGAACCCAACTCCTTGAGAGGGGTTGGACGCTCCACTTTTCTGGTGTTTCCCGCGGGGAGAGGCGGCGAGCTGGGGTGGCCATACTCATTGCCCCCCATCTCAGCCGCCACGTGTTGGAGTTCTCCCCGGTGAATGAGAGGGTCGCGTCCCTCCGCCTCCGGGTGGGGGACAAGTCTCTCACTGTTGTGACGGCCTACGGGCCTAACGGTAGTGCAGAGTACCCGGCCTTCTTGGAGTCCTTGGGAGGGGTACTGGACAGTGCACCGCCCGGGGACTCCGTTATTCTCCTGGGGGACTTCAACGCCCATGTGGGAAATGCCAGTGACACTTGGAGAGGGGTGATCGGGAAGAGCGGCCCCCCTGATCTGAACCCGAGCGGTGTTCAGTTGTTGGACTTCTGTGCCAGTCACGGCCTGTCCATCACGAACACCATGTTCGAGCACAAGGGTGTCCATCAGTGCACGTGGCACCAGGACACCCTAGGCCGGAGGTCGATGATCGACTTTGTAGTCGTATCATCTGACCTTCGACCGCGTGTCTCGGACACTCGGGTGAAGAGAGGGGCGGAGCTGTCAACCGATCATCACCTGGTCGTGAGTTGGATCCGCTGGCAGGGCAGGAGGCCGGTCAGACCTGGCAGGCCCAAGCGTGTAGTGAGGGTTTGCTGGGAACGTCTCGCTGAGCCCCCTGTCAGACGGACTTTCAACTCACACCTCCGGGAGAGCTTCTCCCAGGTCCCGGCAGAGGAGGGGGACATCGAGTCCGAGTGGACCATGTTCTCTTCCTCTATCGCCAATGCGGCGGCTCGTAGCTGTGGTCGCAAGGTCTCTGGTGCTGGTCCCGGCGGCAATCCCCGAACCCGGTGGTGGACACCGGCAGTAAGGGATGCCGTCAGGCTGAAGGAGTCCTATCGAGCAATGATGGTTCGTGGGACTCCTGAGGCAGCTGTCCAGTACCGGCAGGCCAAACGTGCCGCGGCCCGGGCTGTTGCAGAGGCAAAAACCCGGGACTGGGAGGAGTTCGGAGAGTCCATGGAGCATGACTATCGGTCGGCCTCGAAGAGGTTCTGGCAAACCGTCCGGCGCCTCAGGAGGGGGAAGCAGTTCTTTGCCAACACCGTGTATGGTGCGGGTGGAGGGCTGCTGACCTCGACTGGGGATATTGTCGGGCGGTGGAAGGAATACTTCGAGGTTCTCCTCAATCCCCCCGTCACGTCCCCCGTCCAGGAGGCAGAGGCTGAGGATGTTGGGGCGGATACTTCCATCTCCCTGGCCGAGGTCACCAAGGTGGTTGGCAGCCTCCATGGTGGCAAGGCGCCGGGAGTGGATGAGATCCGTCCTGACTATCTAAAGTCTCTGGATGTTGTAGGACTGTCTTGGCTGACACGTCTCTGCAACATCGCGTGGCGATCGGGGGCGGTGCCAATGGAGTGGCAGACCGGGGTGGTGGTCCCTCTCTACAAGAAGGGGGACCGGAGGGTGTGTTCCAATTATCGTGGGATCACACTCCTCAGCCTCCCCGGTAAGGTCTACTCCAAGGTACTGGAGAGGAGGCTTCGTCCGATGGTCGAATCTCGGATTCAGGAGGAGCAGTGTGGTTTTCGTCCCGGTCGCGGAACACTGGACCAGCTCTATACTCTCCATCGGATACTCGAGGGTTCATGGGAGTTCGCCCAACCTGTCCACATGTGCTTTGTGGATTTGGAGAAGGCGTTCGACCGCGTTCCCCGGGGTGTCCTTTGGGGGGTCCTCCGGGAGTACGGGGTCCGGGGTCCTCTGCTGAGGGCTGTTCGGTCCCTGTATGACCGGAGCCAGAGCTGTGTTCGCATTGCTGGCAGTAAGTCAGACCTGTTCCCGGTGCATGTTGGCCTCCGCCAAGGCTGCCCTTTGTCACCGGTTCTGTTCACTGTATTTATGGACAGAATCTCTAGGCGCAGCCAGGGGCCGGAGGGGGTCCGGTTCGGGAACCACAGGATTTCATCTCTACTTTTTGCGGATGATGTCGTCCTGCTGGCTCCAACGAACCAGGACCTGCAACATGCACTGGGACGGTTTGCAGCCGAGTGTGAAGCGGCTGGGATGAGAATCAGCACCTCCAAATCCGAGGCCATGGTGCTTGACCGGAAAAAGGTGCCTTGCCCTCTCCAGGTGGGTGGAGAGGTCCTTCCTCAAGTGGAGGAGTTCAAGTATCTCGGGGTCTTGTTCACGAGTGAGGGGAGGATGGAGCGTGAGATTGACAGGCGGATCGGTGCAGCGTGCGCAGTGATGCGGTCTCTGTATCGGACCGTTGTGGTAAAGAGGGAGCTGAGCCGAAAGGCAAAGCTCTCAATTTACCGGTCAATCTTCGTTCCCTCCCTCACCTATGGTCATGAGCTGTGGGTAATGACCGAAAGAACGAGATCGCGGATACAAGCGGTCGAAATGAGCTTCCTCCGCAGAGTGGCTGGGCGCGCTCCCTTAGAGATAGGGTGAGGAGCTCGGTCACACGGGAGGAGCTCGGAGTAGAGCCGCTGCTTCTCCACGTCGAGAGGAACCAGTTGAGGTGGCTCGGGCATCTGTTCAGGATGCCTCCTGGACGCCTTCCTGGGGAGGTGTTCCGGGCACGTCCCACCGGGAGGAGGCCCCGGGGAAGACCCAGGACACGCTGGAGAGACTATGTCTCTCAGCTGGCCTGGGAACGCCTAGGGGTCCCCCCGGACGAGCTTGAGGAGGTGTGTGTGGATAGGGAAGTCTGGGCGTCTCTGCTTAGACTGCTGCCCCCGCGACCCGGCAACGGATAAAGCGGAAGAAAATGGATGGATGGATGGAAGTTCAGTGTGTTATAGTGAAGATGTGAATATAATTTAGATACTGTATTAAGAGATGTAGCCAATTATCTAATTATGTTTATTGTTTCTGTTTTAGGACCACACACACACACCTACACACATCCATACGCTCAAGCTTCAATAAATCATCATATTCAACTCCCTGACTCATCATTGGGTTCTAACCGACCCACCACAGTGTTCTGGACATTCCATTCAGCATCAGTACAGTCATTCTCCTTTTCAGTTTGCCTGTATGTATCATTGAGAGTCCATGTGGGACGAATCGCGTATCTCTTCCATCCATCCATTTTCGTCCCCTTAATCCATCTCTGGGTTGGGGGTGGCACCCAGTTCACATAGCACCAGCAGTATTGCTTAATCTTTAATTTAATTCATGTATCAAATATAAAGTATTAAATTAAAGTATCTCTTAATCTTTCATTTAATTCATGTCTGTTCAGTGTGTCTCCAGCATGGGTCCAGTGTGTGTCCAAAGTGGCTCTAGTGTGGGTCCAGGTGGTGTGTCCGAGCGTACAGGGCCGCAGTGATGAGGCCCGCCTTCATGTGGGAGTGTTCCATGGTCACGGTGCCCTGGGGGGACGTGTGCAGGTGCGTGGGCTGCTCCAGAGTGTAGTCACTGGACAGGACAGATGGAAACACGTAGCTGCTGCTGAAGGTTCCCTCCAGAGTGAAGTCCATTTTAGTTTGGGCCTGCTCCACTTCCCGTCCGCAAGACTGAGGCTCAGATCCTGCACATTTGACCAGCGCACACACCTGCACACAACAAACATATTCACTGATGCTGTTAAAGCAGAGGACATTTGAAACCACAAAACCAACGTGCAATAATGTCAATCTAACAAGTCTTTGCTCTCAACAGTTTGGTTCAATCCTTAGTTTTCACATATTTATTCCCTCCGTCCACTCTTGACCCCATATTTCCGCTCTGAAAACGACGCTTTTGGAAAACTCTATAAAGTTTTCCAAAAGACCAGCTTCCTTTTAAATGATCAATTATTCCCCCATTTAACTTAAAGGGGCAAGCAAAAAACCTCATCTCAGTGTTAATGTTTGTGTAAAGTTCTAAAAAACTTAATCGATGAGTACAATATTTTACAACTATTTCAAAAATTGATAAATTACAACGAATCAATTGTTACAGCCCTAAGTGTTAGATACCCCAGCTGCACTAATTACACTGAACTTTGATCTCTATCTGCGAAATGCGCTATATAAATAAAGCTTACTCAATGCGATAGACTGATACAAGGGACACTAACCACTTGCTTAGTTCAAGATAAATGTAGAGGAAATTTAAGCACAAAGGGCCAAACATTGCACCTGTAGACTGTAGTTTCCATTGACTGTGTGCAGTCCAGCGAATGCCCCGAGGGCATAGACTTCTGTGAGGTTATTCTCTGTGAGTCGATACTGCAGCCAGCAGCAGAGGGAGCCGTCGCAGACACTGAGGCGTCCTTCAGGCCGCAGCAGGAGGACAAAGGTGAAGATGTCATGCATCATGTAGGAGGTGAAGGACTGAGGGGCCCTGTGGGCCTCAGAACCGCACAGTCCTGCATCAGTGAAGCCCTGCACTGGCTCTGACTCTGGTCCATCAGGAAGAGGCTCCAGCGTGGCCACGATGAGGCGGCCCTCTTCCGGGTCTCCCATCAGGGCGTGGTGGTACACGGCTGAGGATGGGGAGTAGATCCCACTACCCGTCATAATGAGAGGATCACTGCGAATATTTGCAGCCAATAGTGTGATGTTCGCCCCCAGGCTAAAGGCCCGCTGGAACTGAATAGTGTCCAGCAGAGGGAGCTGGTTCATCCAGGCCGTGGGGAAGATGATCTGACGCACTCCCTGAGGACCAACACCACGTTCTTTATAGAAACTAGAGGCTGAAAGTACAAGTGAGAGTTCTGACCTTCTCCAGCAAAGCCACGGTCGGCTGCCGGAACAGGATGTCAAAGCAGGTGATGAGACCAAACCTTCCGGCAAAAGGAGTCTCAAACGTGACCACCTCCACATGTGGCGGCGCGTCAAAGGCGTCTTCAAAGTACAGGTTCTGTTTGTGGTAACGAGCCACCATCAGCCCGTCACTGCTGCAGAACAACACCACACTCTTATCATCAACACTTTTTATGCTGGCGCCCAATGGAAGATTCATTTATTATGTAATCTAAAACTCATGGAAACTGATCTGGATTTTTATCTGGACTTCATCATTTTAATGGTTGCCTTTTTGCTTAAATCAGTGCCTCCAGAAACAGGACAATTATCTTTGTGTATTTTACAGTGTGGTTCTTTCTACCCACAATTTTACCATTTAATCAATCTCCACTTTCTACTTGGGGTGAAGTCCACCATTTGTCCAGGTTAAAATGCATCCAAAATGAGAAAAGCCATCGTAGAATCCACAAAAATGGAAATCCAAAAGCCATATTCCAAACTTAACACACTTTTCCTGCTATCACACACAATTCAATGTATTTGTGTACATGCCTTCTCAGAGGACTTCACAAAGCTGATGATTTGTCAACACAGATCAGACATAAAATAATAACATATTGGCCAAAGGGGCAGACGACCAATGACCGTAAATGTTAACAAAAGTTAATGAATGTTCTTTTGGAGACGTAAGAGCTTCACGCTTGTTATGCACTGTCCCTAGTGTGCACATAGGCAATAATAATTAGGTATTCATTCCCTCCCGTAGTGATAAACTACTACTGTAGCCACCGCTGCCTTGGGGCACACTGACAGAAGCGAGGCAACCAGTATGTGCCATCAGCCCCTCCCACCACCACCCACACACACCAGTCTTCTTTGGGTGAAGTGTAAGTGTCTTGCCTAAGGACACAAGCACAGTTGGCAGCCGCCCCACCTGGTGTTCCCCGAGGTCTCCCATCACAGTACTAACCAGGCTGTACCCTTTTTAGCTCTAGAAGTCTGGCTTTCACCTGCAGGTGGCGCCACACTTTCTTACGGCGCCACCACTATGCATTAGTTCCTCTGAGAGTGTTGGGAGCGACATGGACCTGTAAACCACGTTCGTGTTGAAGTGCCAGCGACCGTCAGAGGGACAGGAGGCGCTGGTCCCAGAGCAGGGCTGCACACTGCCCATGTTGGCCACCACATACAGCCGCTGCCTGCGGGCCATGCAGCTCAGCCACTGCTGCACCTGCAGAGGAGGGTTTCTCTCAGGGAAAACACACATTCACATAGTGGAAGAATATTACTACTACTCCTAATAAGAGAGAAGAAAGAAAGACAAAGACATATGGGAAATTAATATGTGGGCCTTTTTGCACTGGTTCTACTCTACAAGACTGGACTACACTAATCTACCAAACTTGGCCCTTCCATCCCTGCATTCCCATTACAAACTGGTCCTGAGTGGTGCTGGTGAACATGGGCAGATCCAGGGAAACACACAGACATTGTAATTCTTTTACATTATCTTAATCCACAACTCAAAACAGGACGAACAACAGAAAGGAGCAAATATGACTAAAGTGTGCTTTTAATGCCTTGAGTGATTGTTTCTTGTTTTGTTCAGCACTTTGAGTTGCCTTGGGTATGAATTGTGCTTTGCAAATCAAGTTGTGTTGCTGAAGCATATTAATACATTTGATTTTCATTTTTGGGCTTTACGTTTGGCCAGACAGCGCACCCCGAGTTGGAACACACCCTCGTCTCGGTCCATAGTGTAAGTGTGTGCTCGAGTGGGCCGTGTCAACTTTTAGAATTTGAACTGGCTGAAAAGTAACGGTCGGGTTGTGCTGTTCATGCAATAAACGGAGACCGGTATCTCTCCGAAGATAATTCTGCCTCTGCATCTAATTCCTACCCCAGCTTGCCCGTTACATTGGTGGCAGTTCCAATGTAACGGGCAAGCTGGGGTAGGAATTAGATGCACACGCTTACAATAGTGTCTGTGCCACGTTTCCTGATTCCTATTGCTTCTTTGATCTAGCGTTTGTATTTATTGCGTTCCAGATTGATGATTCTTTCTGCAACATCTCAGATTTATGCAGCTTAAATCCAGAAGTCTTCCGGAAAATGTGAGACAGGCTTCTACTCTGACAATGATCTGGTAATACTATGGAGGACCGTGGCTGCCAAAACAATAAATATATACAGAATACATAAATAGAGAAATAAATAAATAAATACAGAAAGAGAAATAAAGAGAAATAAATGCAGAAAGAGAAATAAATGTATGAATAAATACAAAAATAAATAATTATATAAATAAATAAATACAGAAATAAATGCACTTATTCTCATAATTGCATGCATTTCTTAGCAAAATTTATCTTTTTAAAATTTATTTATTTATTTCTGTATATATTTATTGTTTTGGTAGCCACGGTCCTCCATTTTATACCCTGGATGATCTGGTAATGTTCAAATCCAGGTTAAAAACAGTTCTCTTTAGCTGCAAACAACTGAGGGATTTTATCTTGACTCTTTTCAATGGACTGTGATTATTTATGTACATTGATCTGCCTTTTGTATGAACTGTTCTAAGCAAATAAACCTGCCTTGCCTGATGGCGGTGCAGTCTCTGAGATGTTAGTGTTTCAAGTTGTCCTCTTGCGCCCTCTGTCTTTCTTTTCCAGATTAGAATCGAAGAGGCTTATGTGTCCAGTGAAATGGCTGAAGCTATGGGATAATCTGGTATTACTTTATACTTTAGAACGCTCCATTGATTTTAATGTAATTTCAATTTCAAATCGTTCTACCGGTCTTTATTTCTTGAAAACGGACATCTCAAACCAATAATAAATTTGCCTTGTAATTCAGGTGTGTAAAGATCAGTCTGCAAGTAGTCCGGCTTTCATGGTCCGGTTCGCTCTGTCTGTACTTATTTTCCGATAATGACCTGCGTTCTATACATTATGCATCACTTATTGATCTCAAAAGTACCAAGTGAGAGTCCAGGATCAATGCTAACTCTTGATTGTTGTTAAAATAGCCCAGCGCATGACAACACTCTAAAGACTCTAATGTAATGCTCGACCTGTACCTCTGTGTTGGGGTGGCGCTGTGGCTCCTCACACGGGTTCCAGGTCTCGTGTTGAGGGTCAGGGATTATCTCCAGGTAAGCGGCGATGCTGGAGCGGGTGAAGTTAAAGCCGTGCAGGCCGTCCTCAGGAAACACCAGAATCTGCGCGCCCTACACACACCACAGTCTGTGACCCTCTCTCCCTCGTGTGCAGTAGGAGAGAAAGGCATCTGTATTTATTTATAATTAAAGCTGAGTATGTTGTGATGAGATGTCTGTGTAGAAATATATGAACAAATGGATCTATGCACACAATGAGATCTGCCATAAGAGCCAACCATTAAAACTGAGCACGCTCTATCACTTTGCAAACGCAGAGTGATATAACGCAGATAAAAATAAAAAAACGCTACATTTCAAACTGCATCTTCTCATTCTAGAGAAAGTAAACGTTTGGGCTCGAAACAGAGACAAACCAAGAATCCAGCGTCAGTGTAAAGTTTTATAGTATTGTTTGAATCTGACATTTTACATTGATACAAGGTCCATCCATTCGGGCAAAGTGGGTTAAGTGCCTTGCCCATGGACACAACAGCAGTCATCAGTGGGAGCAGGTGGAGACGGTTCCATATGGGATTGAACCCACATCCTCCAGGCTCAAAGGCCAATGCTCTACCAAGTGCACAAGTTACAATGTGCTGTGGTCTACAGGTGCAGTGATCTACAGGTGCTGTGGTCTGCAGGTGCTGAGTTCTACAGGTGCTGAGATCTGCAGGTGCAGTGATCTACAGGTGCAGTGATCTACAGGTGCTGTGATCTACAGGTGCAGTGATCTACAGGTGCTGTGATCTACAGGTGCAGTGATCTACAGGTGCTGTGCTCCACAGGTGCTTACCTGTCGGCTTGCTTGTTCAGCCTGCTGCTCATACACCCGCAGGTTAGTGCGCATGTGCAGTAGCGCTGCGCTGCGGGACAGAGGCACGCTCGGCTGCGGGTTCATCTCCACGCGGTGCTCATACACTGCAGCTACGTAGGACGCTTGAGCACTACAGATCCAGCTGCTCAATACAACGACCAAAACAACAGCATTCGTGTTTTCTTCAAAAGAATCCACTTTGACCACAGCTCCCTCCATCATGAGGACTGGACTGTGCAGAAAGGTAGACCAAGGATCTCAGTCCCGTGCTTCCTGTGGCGTGTTACTGTTTAACAGCTTCATAACTTTGAAGAAGTCTGCTCAATTAGTCAATATGCGCTATGCGCATGCGCCTGAGCAGGGACCCTATCTACGGTAACAGTGAATGGACAAATGACTGTGACATGTACTTTTTCTACTGTTCAGTCTCGCAGATTCAACAGTGAAATGAGAGCGCATCAGCTCAAAAATAACAACTGAAACCAGTGTGTGACTGCAAACTGTAAACAAAAAAGTGCAACGAAAAACTATATACATTTCTGAGACATTCAATAAAATGATTACACCCTTTTTACACTATTACACCCATATTACACTATGCATACAATAACATACTACATAACACTGAAAAGATTATAGTTTTATAACTTTAAAATATACATAATCTAATAACCACAGTCTGTGTGTTAACCATTGAATCTCTTTGCTTAAAACAATATCATAGCATCTATAATCTCTGCCTTTGTGACATTTGAGTGCACAATATATTATGACAAACATTGTCGATTATTACGAACAGCTCGTGTATTTACTTATATTACATTTTGCCAGTGGCCCAGACAAGTAACAGTTTGTAATTTTATGAAGCCGCGATTGCGTTTTTTGCTTACTTTTCTTTACTGAATACATTTATAAGTCATATAACTTATAAATATCAATGGTTATAAGTTATGTTGTATCTAAATGGTCTTCTGATACAAAACACACACAATACTTATTTTAGAGTTATTAAAAATGCAATGGTCCTGGTGATAAAAGTTTGGCGTCTAACTTACCGCTATTTGGCTGCTGTGTTAACGCAAAATGATAGGGTAGAAAACACTATGGACACAGACCAGGGCTTAGTCCAGCTTGCCACACATGGTGCATTTATTTCCAGTGTATCAATAATAATATGCCTACCAGTGTATACAATTGGACTTGAAACAAAAAATAAAGATCTGTTAATACATACAAAAGGAATATTATGTAATAAAATGAATATAAATCATTGAGTCAGAGTTTATTTTCTTAACGATCAGTTTCAAACATTTCCAAACGTCACGTCTTCCTCTGGGATTTTCCAACTGGATCTGTGAGAACAACCAAGCCCCAGGCAGCAATACCTGCAAGAGAATAGACACACGTTCACTGTGGGGGCATATTTACAGTCTGTAGGGGCTTCAAAGGAAAACGTTATGTCAAATTAGTCCAGGACCCCGACAGGACATACATGCTCAACCAGGACGAGGTTTGCTGGAGGATCCCCATGCTGCATGTCTAACCCAGGCACTGGGGGAATCCTTCTCTAAAGTTGCTGGCTAATTTTACATTTTGTAATGCAAATGTGGTTAGAGCTATACAAGAATACAATAAAAAAGGCCCGTCACAAGGTTTGAACCCACACGCCTCCTGCTAAGGGCTGAGAGTAGGGTCCCCAGCCCTGTTGTTCTCCTGTGGATACGACAGGTTTTGGTTTAGATTTGTTTCTTCATCCATCAACTCTATCATGATGCTGCCACCTCCATATCTGACACTGGGGTTGGTGCTATACATGGATCTGTACGTCTGAGGCAGATAAGCAGTGTTAGCTTTGAGTCATAACATTTAGGATTTTTGCCACTTTATTTTCCATTATGGTACTTTTGCGCAGTGATCTACGTTACTGATCGGTACCTTCGTCATGCAACACATTTAGTGACTTTTGTCCTCAGGTGACCTCTGTGAAGGTTCCAGGTGATCTTTGCATCTATTACACACATTTTCCTATTGAGGCATCATCAATAACACAGGTTCATACAGGTCTACAGAGGCCCATACAGGTCTACAGAGGCCCATACAGGTCTACAGAGGCCCATACAGGTCAAACATAGGTTCAGACTCACTTGCTGCAAAGGTGATCTGAGCCACTGTTCCGATGGACGTCGGGCCACCTCTCTTCATCACTTTTCGGGCTTCGTTGAAAACGTAGGCCCCTGACAGAACCAGGGCCCCCCCGGAGAGCAAGCGGCAGCTCAAGCAGCCCTTAAAGAGCCCGGGCCCGGGGACGGGTGCGGGCGGTGGGTGTGCTCTCTCCGCAGACATGTGTGCATCTGCTCGGGGAGCTCTGGTTTGTTATGCTAGCTCCACTGCTAACAGTCTGTTTACACTCGTCTCCGTTACCGCCCCCTGCAGCTCAGGCGGGACATAACGAGCTGCTTTCAACAATATTGAAAGTCTAAAATCACATCACTGGTTTAAACTCTGCTATCAAAACTAAACATTCATTTGTCAAAATGATCTGTGGAGACAGAAGGTGGCAGTATTTGATATTATTATTTCCAACATACATATCCACACATACATGTATACAAACACACAAATACAGTAACACTTACATATTTCCATGACAATACTTGTTTTGCTTTTTTTAATTTATTAAATATTATTTTTCTCATTGCTTTGGATTCTGCTTTACTATGTTGTACATGGTAAATTATGTTTTGGACTTTGTATCACATGAGGTTAAATAAAGGGAACAATTTATATTGTTCCAGGGTGATTATAAACTCTTAAAAGAGAAGTTGTGTGAGTTTAACAGAGTACTACGTAGAACAAGAGAATTATACTTTTCTGAAACTATTGAAGGCTGCAGCAACAATCTGCGTGTTCTATTTTCAACAATCAATAGATTAACGAACCCCCCTGTTGAGTTGCCATTAGAACACTACTCCAAATCCAGGTGTAATGAGTTTGCACAGTTCTTCAGAGACAAGGTTCAGGGTATCAGAAATGCCATCACCTCTACAACACAAGTAACAATGCAACATCCAGTGAGGCTTTGTGAGCTAGCTCAATTTGCACCTGTCAATGATGAAACTGTTAAAAAGATAATCACAGGTCTTAGTTCCTCTACCTGCAGTCTGGATGTACTACCTCCTAGATTTCTGAAGTCTGTTATGTGTGGTCTATTACCCTCATTGACACAAATAGTAAACATGTCTTTTTTATCTGGAACATTTCCAATGGCCCTGAAAAAGGCAGTCATCAGGCCCCTCCTAAAAAAGAGCAGTTTGGATGCTGCGGTACTTGAAAATTACCGTCCCATCTCAAATCTGCCTTTCATGGGAAAAATTCTTGAAAAAGTTGCCTACCAACAACTTACTGAATTTTTAATATCTAATGACTCATTTGACATGTTCCAGTCTGGCTTTAGACCACACCACAGTACTGAGACCGCTCTAGTCAAGGTAACAAATGATATTCGGCTTAACACTGATGCAGGAAAAGTCTCTGTTTTAGTCATGTTAGATCTGAGTGCCGCTTTCGACACCGTTGACCATGAGATTCTCATGCAGAGACTGGAGGACTGGGTTGGTGTTGCTGGTACCGCCCTAAGCTGGTTTAGGTCCTATCTAGAAGAAAGGAAGTATTGTGTGGAGATTGGAGACTATGTCTCAGATAATATGGCCCTGACCTGCGGAGTGCCACAGGGGTCGATTCTGGGACCTCTCCTGTTCAATATTTACATGCTGCCATTAGGTCAGTTAATTCAAAGTATGAAAGTGTCCTACCACAATTACGCTGATGACACTCAGATCTATGTCTCACTGACTGCAGGAGAGCATGGACCGGTGGACTCACTCCTTCGCTGTATCCAGCGGATCAGTGAGTGGATGCAATGCAATTTTCTCCAGCTAAATGCGGACAAGACCGAAATGATTGTCTTTGGTCCCGAGAAACAAAGAGAGACCGTCATTTGTCACCTTCAGTCTCTCTCCCTGGGGCCTTTAAATAAGGTCAGAAATCTGGGAGTAATAATGGACTCTGACTTAAACTTCAATAGCCACATTGGATCGGTAACATCAGCAGCTTTTTATCATCTGAAAAATATTGCCAAAATTAAAAATATTGTGTCCAGGGCAGACTTGGAGATTCTTATCCATTCTTTTGTTTCCAGTAGGCTGGATTACTGCAATGGCCTGCTCACAGGTATCTCCAAACATGCAGTAAAACAGCTGCAGTATATTCAAAATGCTGCAGCCCGAGTCCTGACTAGAACCAGGAAGTACGACCACATTAGTCCGGTCCTCAGGTCTCTGCACTGGCTTCCCGTGGCCCAGAGGATAGACTTTAAAGCAGCTCTCCTGGTGTACAAGTCTCTCCATGGCCTTGCACCAAAGTACATCCATGATATGTTAGTCCCATACGAACCAGCCCGGACTCTGAGGAGCGCAGGGACGGGACTCCTGTTAGTGCCCAGAGTCAGGACTAGACAGGGGGAGGCTGCTTTTCAGATTTATGCAGCTAAAGTCTGGAACAGTCTTCCTGAGGATGTGAGACTGGCTGCCTCTCTGTCAATGTTCAAATCCATGTTAAAGACTTTTCTTTTTTCCTGTGCATACAACTAGAGAATTTTATCTTTTTAACACACCTTGTTATTTATTGTTGTAACTTTTTGTGTTTTTAACTATTTTATTGTTTTTAATAACTTGTGTGATTCTTATGTTTTTAAATTACTTATGTGATTTTAATGCTTTTTAATTACATATGTGTTTTTAATTGTATTTTAATGGTGATGATTTGTGCATTGTGTGGTGTGGACTGTGAGGCGCTTTGTGTTGCCCTGTGCAGGAAAAGCGCCCTATAAATAAAGATTGATTGATTGATTGATTGATATATAGAAAATAGTGAAAATAAGCTGAGGCCTGTTTATGTCTGGCTGTGTGTGTCTAAGTGTTTCCAATCACACAATGTATTTGGTATTTAGAATAGATGTCTTTTCCCAATGGTAACACAGGATTGCATTTATAAACAAAATGTCTTATGTATGAAAAAGTTTCAGAAAGGAAAGAAAAGTACCCAGCAGTACTTTTGTTTAAGGAATGGTTAGACTGTGTTTGAGGCATAGTACAAAGGCTTCAGGTTCCGTTACTTTGGTCTAGCATTTGTCTAAAAAACTGTAAATCTTCAACATGCCCCAATGAAACGGCCAGTTTGCAAATATGACCTGTAGGTGGCGCCATAATAGCATGATAGTTTCCCTGGCAACATGGTGTGGGTCGCTGTAATGGCCAAATATCAATAGCACTTACAGTTTTTCTCAGTCGCTTTGGTGCATTTCTCAGATCACACTTAAAGTTCTCAAAACTATTAGTTCAACCTCTACAACATTGAGTCATATATGCACGTCATCATGGCAGTTTCTCATTCCTCTGAACACTTTACAAATGCTTTATGACATGAATCAGTTACTTTCATACAATTCTCTGCGTTTTTTTAACATTATCATTTGCTTCTGTCCTGTCAGTCAGAATGAAACATACTTATGACTTCTGAATAGTCTTTCCCTATAAAACCAACAGTCCTAATTTCATCGCTTTGGTCATCACATACAAAATTTTTGAACTAGTTCTCAAAATCATATTTGTCAAGCTAATCTAATACATTCCTTTATCGTGTTTTTTTCCTGTAAATATTTCCTAAATATTTCCTAAATCTCTCTCAGGTGAATTTCAGCATTTACTCATGAGGAGGTGTGTGTTTTATTGTTTACATTTGTCACAGTTCTACCATAATGATATTTCTTGTATGTTTGTTCTATGTATATATATGTAAGTGACTTTTAAGTGTATTTTTGTTGCACAATGCTGTAGAATTGCAAAGAGCATAATGCAGTAAATATGTGAAAGGTATGCAGTATATGTATGTATGTATACATACAGTACATATGTACGACATACAGTACATACATACAGTACATACACACATAGATACACACATACATGTCAGTTACCTCTCTAAATACAGTCTTTGTGTAAATTTACTGTAGTTTTTACTGTAAATGACTGTATAGGTTATGTATAGTGTGCTCATAGTCGTGCTCAAGTGTCACCAAGATCTGACTTTTTTACATTGAAAACACAAAGAGAGTAAACTTTCCCAATGAAAAAATTCATTTGAAAAGTCATTTGACTGTGTTGTTCATACTCAATGGTGTCAGGACTTATTATTTTGACGACACAGACAGTTTCATTGACATGAAGACTTGCTTTTGAGGAATTAACTTTTAATTTTGAGAAGGTGATGAACTTTTGCAGGTTATCCACGAGGTTTTGAAGTTTGCACTAATTGTTCTGAGAAATGCACTAACTGTTTTGCAAATGTGAAGAATGATGTGAAAAAAGCACCAAAGCGAGTGAGAAAAACTGTAATGCCCATTCTACCTGAGAAATGTGGATTTTGTAATCTGAATCTGTAGTGTTTACAAAGAGTGCTTTACAAAAGTGTTTATTCAGCTCAAACTTCTGGAAATGTTGACATATTATAACTAAACAAACATATTTTATTTGTTATTTTTTTCCTGCGAGACCAGACCAAAGTATCAGACAACTGTGAAATGAAAGCAAAATTATACATGATTTTGTTAATTTAAACAAAAATCTAAACTTTAAAGTGGGTGTTGCTAAAATAATAACAATAATTAAAATAATAATAACCATAATATTACAGTTTTTCTCACTCGCTTTGGTGCATTTTTCACATCAGACTAAAAGTTCTCAAAACTATTTGTTCAACTTCCACAACATTGGGTCATTGGTGCACATGATCATGGCAGTTTCTCATTCCTCTGAACACATTTCAAATGCTTTTGTTCATGTATCAATAACTTTCATACAATTCTCAGCGTTTTTTCAACATCATCATTTGCATGCAAATGTGAAGAATGATGTGAAAAAAGCACCAAAGCGACCGAGAAAAACTGTAATAACAATGGATTGGTTTTTCAATTACATTTTTTTGAAAGCTGAAATTCACTTTACATGGCATTCTTTCACTCCGTACACAGTGGTGATGAGCTACTTCTGTAGCCACAGCCGCCCTGGACCGGACTGACCGAAGCGAGGCAACCAGTCTGTACCATCGGACCCTCGGACCACCACTAATAATTTGTACATACACCAGACTCATTCTAGGCAAGGTAGATAGATAGATAGATAGATAGATAGATAGATAGATAGAGAGATTGATACATAGATGGATAGATAGATAGATATATAAAGAGATAGAGAGATTGATACATAGATGGATAGATAGATAGATATATAGAGAGATAGAGAGATTGATACATAGATGGATAGATAGATAGATATATAAAGAGATAGAGAGATTGATACATAGATGGATAGATAGATAGATATATAAAGAGATAGAGAGATTGATACATAGATAGATAGATAGATAGATAGATAGATAGATAGAGAGATTGATACATAGATGGATAGATAGATAGATATATAGAGAGATAGAGAGATTGATACATAGATGGATAGATAGATAGATAGATATATAGAGAGATAGAGAGATTGATACATAGATGGATAGATAGATAGATAGATAGATAGATAGAGAGATTGATAGATAGATTGAGAGATTGATAGATTAATACTTTATCCATCCCAGTAGGAGAAATTCAGGTGTCCAGTAGCAGCAGAAACACATCCTTCTATGCAAACAAAACAAATAGATATAAATAGTATAGTATAGTATGTAGTTTGCATGTTCTCCTCGCGCCTGAGTAGGTTTCCTCTGCGTGCTCCGATTTCTCCTACCCCTAAAAACATGTACAATTGGTATGAATGTAATGAGTGAGTGAATGGATGGTGTTGATTGGGGGCTTTGACGGTCGAGTGAGTCCGGTGTCTCGCTTTCGTCATCACCGTGTGGAGAGAATGGAATAACAGAACTCTGAAAATTGTAACGTGTTTTAGGTGACCATGGTCTGTATTCTTACTGAATGTTCACACCTCGCCTTACTGATTGAAGCCCATCTGTGTATAATCTACTCCCAGTATAAATACAGCTGTGAGGGCCTCAGAGCTATGATCAGAGTGCATTGGTCACTAAGCTGCATCATGAAGGCCAATGAGCACACCATGTTTGTACATATGCTTCAAGTTTGAAACTTGTTAGTTTTTATGGCTCAAAACTAACACCTCACTGCACCAGCAGGAACAGAGAAGAGTTGATGGGAATATATATATATATATATATATATATATATATATATATATATATATATATATGGGAATATGTATAGAATCTAATAATAAATATATAGATATATTTTTTTTTTATTATGAATAAAATTATTCATAAGAAAAAAAATCAAATCAAAAGTGGAATAAATGCAAAATTGCTTTTACTTCACATTTGTGTTTGTTTTAGGATTTTAGTAAAATATCAAAATAAAATATTGACGTTGTTGTTTTGCGCTTTGCAATTGTTATTTTTCTTGCTTCTTTCGACTTAATTTATAGCCTATACGTCCGTGGGAGCGGATCCCTTTCTCAAACTGGCTCTCTTTTCCCACTGGTTTTTCTTATGAGTTTTTCGTTGCAGATGCAGGAGGGTCTGTTGGACAGTTAGTGTCCAGCAAAAAGGATGTGGTGATGATCCAGGACACTTTAACATTCTACAACATGTATGACATTTATCAACATGTGTTCTAACTGTTGATTCTCTGACCTGTGTTGGTGATTTCAATGGTTTTGTTAAGTCCTCTGAGACGACTTTTGTTGTGATTTAGGGCTATACAAGAATAAATTGTATTGTATTGTAATTGTTACTGCAGTACAGTTTTCATGGTTTTACACTGATCCAGACCAGAGCAGAGAGGATTCACATCCCAACCAAGCAGATCAAGCGGAAATCCACTGAAATGGTGAGTGCCAAGCATTCACCATTTCACTCTGGACCAGAACAGAGAAAATGGCTCGAACCAATCGGATACACCACCTCTGTTGCTACACCATCTCTGTTGTGACCTGCCCTGCTGCTCCCGGCAGCTACACCATCTCTCCTGCTGTGACCTACAGTGCTGTTGCATATTATTACTATTGTTAGCTACTTTTAGAAATATGCATTTATTTGTTTTGTTAGTATGGATTTGTTTCTGCTGCTACTGGACACCTGAAATTCTCTTTCGGGGGATTCCCCAGGATGAGCTGAAGGAAGTGTGTCTTACACTGCCGCCCCTGTGATCCAACAATGGATTAAGCGTAAGAAAATGGATGGATCATCATAGTCCATAAGGATAATTTGTTCAAATGGGCTATTTCTTAAGCTTTGTACAACAAAACAAAAACAAAAACTTAAATATGTGCAGCTCAAGTCAACCAAGTTTTTTTCTTCTTTTTTATCTGGTTAGAAAAACATGTTATCTTTTGCATACTTGAAAGAAAGAGCCACATTTGACACTGAGCTACGGTCAAAAACATTGTGAGATGACTAGTCCCCAATGACTAGTTAGTTTGATTAAAGCAGTCAAAATAATAACTACAGTGTTTATGAGGTGTATGGCCTGGGGAAGAAGCTACTTTTTAGTCTCAGAGTTCTTTCCCTCTTGGTGGTCCCTCTTTTTCACTTTTCAGAGAGGGATTCAAATAGAGTTCCAATTATTGTGATTTGAAGGTTATGTACCCCAGTGTCAGGATTTAAGCAGACAGAGACGGATTGTGGTGCGCCAAACTCTGGAAGTTTATTTAAGTTTCTCTCAAGTTCCACTGGTTTACTCTGTTTCTTTCTCTCAGACAGAATAAAGGCAGTACACAGTTTATATAGTCATTGTCACGTCACACATCGAAAGACATACGTGTCACAAAGAGACAGTCACATCATAGTCATAACATGGAGTCCTTGTACAGTCCTGCACGTAGGCCATATTGCTATCTAATACTAATACCAGTTTTAAGAGATGGGGGGACGGGGTGTGGGTCTTCCATGGAGGTGCACTACTCACATAAGCGCAACTGCCTGCATGCATGTTTGTTTGTTACCTTATGATTTATATTCAACTCTATTTTTAAATTGCTTGATTTATAGACATACATTTAAAAATAGATATAGATACTTTATTAATCCCTGTAGGAGAAATTCAGGTGTCCAGTAGCAGCAGAAACACATGCATTCATAGAAATAGATCACTCGAAAAATAGCTAACAATAGTATTAAACTGCAACAGCACTTTAGGTCACAGTAGCAGAGGTGGTGTAGCTGCCGGGAGGAGCAGGACAGGTCACAGCAGCAGAGATGGTGTAGCCACTTGGTTCAGACCATTTTCTTTGCTCTAGTCCAAAGTGAGATGCTGAATGCTTGAATTCAACCATGAATCCTCTCTGCTCTGGTCTGGACTAGTGCTAAACCATGAACACTGTACTGCAGCAACATCCCAGGAGAAAAAAAGCAAGAACAATAACAATTGTAAAGCATGAAACCACGACTGTTTCAAAGCTTTTTTCGGGTGTGCTTGGCCATCCTAGAGGGCATCTGGTCCCCCCTGGAGCCGCCCCTGCTCTCCTCCATGCTACTGTCGCGCAGCAGACTCAGAGCAGCCATGTTGGCTTCAGCCTGTTCCGGTATGAGGGCTGGATCGTGCGTATAGAGTGGATCGGAGCTCTTCGCAATGATGGACTTTACCACCCTGTGACGGCTGTTTAGACATCGGCCACTGCCACAGGACAGACCACTGACGCTCCAAGGACCGGGAGGCGGACTGTGGCTCACTGCAGTGCCGCAGTCCACGACCTTATTCCAGGCACGCAGCAGAGGAAGAGCCGGTGTTTCCGTGGGTTGACAGAGGCAGTTCCTGCGCTCGCCACTGCACAGAGCTGGTCCCACAGTTCCACAGCTGTGTCCTCCGCACGGCCCTGCTCCTGTCCCCGCTCTTCAACCGGACACAGGGCGTGCTGAAGCCGAGCCTTCCCCCGGGCGCACACCGCGCTCCCCGTTGGTCTCGTCACATTTGTGGGTGATTCTGTTGACTCTGGAAGGTCTCGGGAACCGGGAAGAAGTTTGGCCTCAAAAGTTTGGACCCGCACTGGATTTAGGAGCAGCATGATTTGTGTGCGCAGATTCGGGCAAAGTGACCAGTGAAGACACTTTGTGGACATATCAGAGGGTCCACTTGTGGTTTTGGTCCGTCTCGGTGTTTTGGAACGTGTTAGCATGTTAGCCTGGCTGAACCGTGCCCACTGAGAAGAACACAGCTGGAGTGCTAGCGGGCTAAGGGCTCATAGCTCCACCACCTCGGCCCTTCATACATGCCCACTGGAAGTGTGGGGCTTTTCACTTCGACACGTCTCCTGGGGATAGACATGGGACGTGGACTGGTTGGAGCTAGTTGCTGCTAGCCCCAGACTAGCCGCAGATGTGGGCTCTGCTCGGATCACTGGCTACTTGTTGATTGTGCTAGCGGGCTAGCACGACACGGGACATCCGCTGGAGGGTTTAGGCGCCTTCTGGAGGCTTTAAATGTGCCCCGAGGATTGAAAACTGTCCTTTCTTCACTTTTCTTTTGCCCCTTTGGAACCAAAGTCATTCAACATGTCAACAAGGCCTCCCCTGGTGCAAGTCATCGAGAACTCGGCTGGTCAGGTAAGCTGATCTTCAGCACTGCTTCCTCTGCTGTGGCCGCTCCACAAGTGTGTGTTCACATGATATTATTATAGGTGAGGGGGAGAAAGTGTGGTCTGCACGGGCACAAGTCGGGTCATATGAAATGTACACGTGTAACACTGCCCAAGCAGGTTCCGTTCGGATTTAGGTTCGTACTGGTGAGTATGACTGAGGGCAGGCTGCGTTCAGGAAACGAAGAGGAGGGGGCTTGACTTTACACTGAACTGTGAAGTCAGGCCGTGCTGTATACACAGCTCTGAGCACTCTGTACCATACACTACAGTATACAGGTAATAGCAGGAGTGTAGGCCTACACTGTAGTTATAGCAGGAGTGTAGGCCTACACTGTAGTTATAGCAGGAGTGTAGGCCTGTTCAGTAGTTATAGCAGGAGTGTAGGCCTACACTGTAGTTATAGCAGGAGTGTAGGCCTACACTGTAGTTATAGCAGGAGTGTAGGCCTACACTGTAGTTATAGCAGGAGTGTAGGCCTACACTGTAGTTATAGCAGGAGTGTAGGCCTGTTCAGTAGTTATAGCAGGAGTGTAGGCCTACACTGTAGTTATAGCAGGAGTGTAGGCCTACACTGTAGTTATAGCAGGCGTGTAGGCCTACACTGTAGTTATAGCAGGAGTGTAGGCCTACACTGTAGTTATAGCAGGAGTGTAGGCCTACACTGTAGTTATAGCAGGAGTGTAGGCCTGTTCAGTAGTTATAGCAGGGGTGTAGGCCTACACTGTAGTTATAGCAGGAGTGTAGGCCTACACTGTAGTTATAGCAGGAGTGTAGGCCTACACTGTAGTTATAGCAGGAGTGTAGGCCTACACTGTAGTTATAGCAGGAGTGTAGGCCTGTTCAGTAGTTATAGCAGGAGTGTAGGCCTGTACAGTAGTTATAGCAGGAGTGTAGGCCTACACTGTAGTTATAGCAGGAGTGTAGGCCTACACTGTAGTTATAGCAGGAGTGTAGGCCTACACTGTAGTTATAGCAGGAGTGTAGGCCTACACTGTAGTTATAGCAGGAGTGTAGGCCTACACTGTAGTTATAGCAGGAGTGTAGGCCTGTTCAGTAGTTATAGCAGGAGTGTAGGCCTGTTCAGTAGTTATAGCAGGAGTGTAGGCCTGTACAGTAGTTATAGCAGGAGTGTAGGCCTGTACAGTAGTTATAGCAGGAGTGTAGGCCTGTACAGTAGTTATAGCAGGAGTGTAGGCCTGTACAGTAGTTATAGCAGGAGTGTAGGCCTGTACAGTAGTTATAGCAAGAGTGTAGGTCTGTACAGTAGTTATAGCAGGAGTGTAGGTCTGTACAGTAGTTATAGCAGGAGTGTAGGCCTGTACAGTAGTTATAGCAGGAGTGTAGGCCTGTACAGTAGTTATAGCAGGAGTGTAGGCCTGTTCAGTAGTTATAGCAGGAGTGTTGGCCTGTACAGTAGTTATAGCAGGAGTGTAGGCCTGTACAGTAGTTATAGCAGGAGTGTAGGCCTGTACAGTAGTTATAGCAGGAGTGTAGGCCTGTACAGTAGTTATAGCAGGAGTGTAGGTCTGTACAGTAGTTATAGCAGGAGTGTAGGCCTGTACAGTAGTTATAGCAGGAGTGTAGGCCTGTACAGTAGTTATAGCAGGAGTGTAGGTCTGTACAGTAGTTATAGCAGGAGTGTAGGCCTGTACAGTAGTTATAGCAGGAGTGTAGGCCTGTACAGTAGTTATAGCAGGAGTGTAGGCCTGTACAGTAGTTATAGCAGGAGTGTAGGCCTGTACAGTAGTTATAGCAGGAGTGTAGGTCTGTACAGTAGTTATAGCAGGAGTGTAGGCCTGTACAGTAGTTATAGCAGGAGTGTAGGCCTGTACAGTAGTTATAGCAGGAGTGTAGGTCTGTACAGTAGTTATAGCAGGAGTGTAGGTCTGTACAGTAGTTATAGCAGGAGTGTAGGCCTGTACAGTAGTTATAGCAGGAGTGTAGGCCTGTACAGTAGTTATAGCAGGAGTGTAGGTCTGTACAGTAGTTATAGCAGGAGTGTAGGCCTGTACAGTAGTTACAGTAGTAGGAGTGTAGGCCTGTACAGTAGTAGGAGTGTAGGCTTGTACAGTAGCTATAGCAGGAGTGTAGTGTCCTACACAGTCTGTCTGAGTTTTCACTCTGCTGTGTGGACCATGGTTCATGGTTCAGTCTGACACTTCTGATTCTGTTTTTACAGCTTCTTTATGACATCTTGATAAGCTTTTGTTGTTTTTCTCTTATACATTTTAAAGAAAAATGGCATCAGAGGGCTGTAGTAAAACAAAGATTTTTATAGAATGTTGCAATACTGCAATATTCTCTAACAATCAATTTATTGATATGCTAATCCAAAGTGTTGATGTTAATGAAGCTCTTACTATCATATTTAAAGTAAGTCAATTCTCAGGAGAACAACCGTGTCATTTATTTTACTCTAAAGATGAAACCCAAAAGGCAATTGGTTGGTAATCATTAATTTGAAGATTAATCTGTAAATTAGTCAACAATACCCAACCTCCAGGTGTGTTTATATCCACAGTACTCTGATATAAAGTGAAAAATAAATAGATAAACAAAGCAATAATAACAAAGCAATAATCAATCCTTTTCATTGGACATATATTATATTGGAAAATTATATGAGCTAGAGATTAAGTGATGCACTGATGTGAAAACTGTGGCCAATAACTGATGTTAATATTTCTGGCCAATACAATATATATTTTTGTTTTTATTATTACAAACTGTTCATAATATATTTCAATAGTAATACCAAGTTAAACTAAGTAGTTATTATTGAATACAGGATGATACTTTACTACATCTATTACTCATTTATTAACGGTCCCATATTTTGCTCATTTTCATTTTTCTCAGTTCATCCTAAGCACATGTGTAATGTTTTATGGTAATACACCATACGACACTCAAAACTTGTAAAATTAAAGCTATTTCTTGCATAGAGGTTATGTTACGTCAATTGAAACGAGCTGCCTGCCTCCCCCCACCCGCAAGGTGACGTAGCCTCACGCTCACTTTGTAAACACAGATCTGTGCTCCTCGTTAGTGTCTTTTATTGTGGGAACAACACCAGGTTTTCAGATCAGCTTTCATGGTAACTGTACTTCTGGAAGCAGTCTTTGGTGAAGTGTCACATGATCTTTTGAAGCATAGAAAAGTCCTAATATGGGACATTTTTATTTGGCCGCCTCAAACCACTGTGAAGACTACATACGAATTTCTCTCACACGTGCTAGCATGGACCAAAAACATCAGTCCATTAGCTGCCCGCGTACTCTGATCCACTTATAATACCTCCAAACTACCACTGCCCACCACAATATCTGACCCTGTAGATGGATATGCTTTATTGATCCTCGAAGGAGAAATTCAGGTGTCCAGTAGCAGCAGAAACACATCTATCCATACAAACAAAACCTAATTCAAAAAGTTGCTAACAATAGTAGTATTAAAATGAAAGAGCACTTTAGGTCACAGCAGCAGAGATGGTATAGTCTCTGGGTGGGTAAACTAGTACCTGGCTATGTTGCACATTAGTCACGTTTCCAACTTCGGGGTAATTTTACAGAGCCAGCCCCGATGGGGCGTGTCTCCACTGCAGGAACCTCCCCCACAGGGCCATTTACAGTAGCTTTTTTGGGGCCCAACAGAGTCCCTCCTCCATGCTAGGTACTCTGTTGGGTCCTGGTGGGACTTGAGGTTAACCCTTGGATCTATTATAATAACTGGGTAGGGTATTGCTAGCTTGGAGCTGAAGAACCCATATGCTCGGGGGATTCTCGCGGTACTGCAGACTGAACCAGACAAAATTCACGTGGGCAACCGAGAAATTTTCCCCATTGAACTCAATGTAAATTAAAACCGCTCAACCTCAGCTGACAGAGAACCTACAGCTTTCATAAAGGTCGGATTTTGTGGGGATTTTAGTGTGCACGTGGGTGAGACCCGTGTGAGACCATCACACGCGTGTATAGCGCAACGCATCATGGGAGATAGCGCAATGCATCATGGGAGTTCATTCACTGCGCAGAACCGGGAGGACCAGGCGATGCCCAAATACAGGCAAGTTTCCCATGGATCTTTGTGAGTTCTGCTAATATGTCAGCGACTGTGCCGGCACAAAGCGCCACCGAGCACTACCATTCATTTGAATAGGGCGCCATCTTGGATCGCCGGGGCTTGGGTTAACCCGGCGCTGATTGGCTAAAGCTAGCAAAGGCTCTGACGCCAGCAGAAAGCAGCAAAACAACCGGCATTAGCCCTGCTGCATTAGCCCTGCTGCATTAGCCCTGCTGCATTAGCCCTGCTGCATTAGCCCTGCTGCATTAGCCCTGCTGCATTAGCCCTGCTGCATTAGCCCTGCTGCATTAGCCCTGCTGCATTAGCCCTGCAGCATTAGCCCTGCAGCATTAGCCCTGCTGCATTAGCCCTGCTGCATTAGCCCTGCTGCATTAGCCCTGCTGCATTAGCCCTGCAGCATTAGCCCTGCAGCATTAGCCCTGCAGCATTAGCCCTGCAGCATTAGCCCGGCAGCATTAGCCGGGCAGCATTAGCCTAGCAGACACCACTGGAAACAGCGAACAACAGCACAGCATTGATTTAGACGGGGTTTGAGGCATCGCGGCGAAATGATTTGATAATTAAGACATATATCAGCTTCACCTCGAATAATACTTAATACTACAGCAGTGGCTCTCAGTCAAAGGTTATGTGCAGGTGCGTCTCGATCTACCCGTGAATGAAGTGGCCAAGACTAAGATTTTGAACAAAGTTTTGGATACAAGAGCAGAGAAGACGATGTGGGTCTTTTGGCTCTGGTGCTGTGAGCTTTGAGAGGACCTAAGTATGAATTTAATTCCATTTGGATTTCACCCCTGTGTCAGTGACCATGGAAACCACACACTGTGGGCGGGGCTACGCAGTCCGCTCTTTTGGGAGATTGTAGCAGCGTGGCCGTGATTG